CCTTGTGAAGACCCGTCAACGTCCGCTTCAGTGGCTCGGCATCTCGGTAAGACAAGAGAAGGGCGGCTATGGCGGCTCAATCTGGCGCGTGTGTAAAGCGTCTATAGCGTTCATACCCAGGGAAAATTGTGCTACATTTGTGCCAACAAATGGTGCATCGGCACGCGCCGTATATAACTTGACACCGGTCGTGGGAGAAATCGCTTCTGCCGGATAACTGCAAGACGTTCTTGCCGTCTAGAGAATCCGTCTGAACAAAGCCACCTTAAAATAATCAAAGCCTATGAATTAGGATTTTGACGCCATCACAGTGAGATCGATTGGACACGAGGTCATGCGTCAAGCGTTCGGCTGAAACTGCAGACTTGTACGTAGTTCAACTACTCTACTCAAGCTACTGTAGTTTAACTACATTTCTGAATAGCTTTGCAACTTGCAATTACATTTTTATTTCGGTAATTAGTAGCTTACTTTAATTACTTTTTCCGAGTAACATCTACTCAAATTACAGATTATACTTTCAAATCTTAGTGGTTGTTTTGCCTATCAACAAACATTCGTGCACAAAAAAGATAAGATGTTGGAAGATCAGCTGATATTTCCAAAAAAGGGGAAGCATGTGGCGTAGGAAAGGGGGGGGGGGGGGAAGGTTGAAAGTGGTTTGGAGAGTCCAACCCCCCGCCCCCAATTTTCACGAGCCCCCCACTGCAACACAAGACTGCAACAACACAGCTACGAGGCGCGGGAAGCGAACAGACACAAAACAAGAGAGGCCTAGTAACTGTGGGATTAGCGCCGAAGACTGGCGTTTCGTTGTGCCCCGAAGCTCAAGGAGACTTGACCCTTGTGAAGAAGGGGCTGGTCCCCGCTTCTCCCCAGCGTAGAAACTCTCGCCCACAACAGGAGGTGTACTCACTGCATCCTCACCTAAAGGAAGCAACAAAATGCACCACCCGCTCTGAGGCTCATCTGATCTGGTGCTGCCGTTGTTCCTGCTCTACTCGAAGAATCGCGTGCTAAAGGGCAACGCGAAGGTGACCTTTTTGCGTTGCCTTTCCTCCCAAAACTAAGAATATGCAGATCTTCAAAGATTCGAAGATTGTTCCAGCGTTTTTATATCAAAAATAATAAACAAGCAGTGTTGGGAAGTACGTACATGGTACAAAACTTGTATTTTAGTTGAAGTACATTCTCTGAGCATGTACTTGCACTTTACTGAAGTATTTTTTCTGGTACTTTCCGAGGAAAGTAAAACTCTCTACTCCAACGTACATTCTCCGAATTTAAAAAAAAAAAAAAAAAAAAAAAAAAAAAAAATGGCGTGTCGTCGTGTTAAAATGCGCTCTTTCCATACGTCATCTGGTCATTTTTCTGAGTGAAATAATGGCGGCTATAAGACGGACACAAATAAGTGCCTTATAAGTTGATTGTGTCGAATAGCTCGTCAGCGAGAGTAAAACAGCTACTCTGTGGCGGCTTGATTTTATACAATATTTACTGCCATTTCCGTAAAAAACTGATGCACCCCTGGAGAAATGCATACCAGTTAAAGAAACACTGTATAGGGAGTGAAAGGGCATCATGAAAGATTGTGTTAAAAGTACTTGTAATTTATCTTGAAATATATTGTATTTATAGTACGTACGTTACTTCAAGTACATTGCACCCGGTGCAATTACTACTTCTCTTGAAGTGCATAACCTATCATTTACTTTGTACTTCAAGTACTTTTTATATGTACTTTACGCAACACTGTAAACAAGCGAACACTGTCTAAAAAATCAAGCTCAGGCAGTGCTAAACCTCAAAGTAGAAATGATACATTCGCAGTACATCATTGACCAAAAAGACAATGTACAAAGCAATTAGGTACGCAGAAGCAGAACCAGCTATTAAAGCATTTCTGTTATAAAAACAAGCCGATTCATATTTGACTAGCACAATTTCGCTGTTACATAAAAAAAAGAACATAAAAGTAACTTTAAAAGTAATTCGCTACTTTTTTACAATAATTAGTATTTGAGTAATTTCTACCCTACTCAAATTACTTTTGAGGCCAATAATCAGCAACTAAACTTGATTACTTTTTTTAGTAACCCGTACATGTCTGGCTGAAAGTGGTGTCCAACTCCAACCAATGCGTCGAAAGGCGCTCAGCTGTTGGGCTCGGGCCAAATTACAGGGTGATTCAAGGAGACGCCAGGCTCTTTAAATCGACCGCAAAATTCGGTTTCTTAACCTATCGCGCTACGACTTTGTGCAGCGTTGCCCACAGATGGTGCATTTTTTTTTTGTAAAATTTGCAAAGAGCGAATTTACCTGAGGAAAAAGTAAAGAAAGAAAAAGGCTTAGCTCCTACGGAAACGCAGCGACGCCACCGGTCTTCAAACAACACGGCGCCGTTTCGCACGGGAGACAAGAGATGGCGCAACTAACGCCGTCGACGAACGAGCGTACGGCACCGAGAGCCGGCGTTTTTAGCAGACGATCTTTTCGACTCAAAAGCGGGGCGCGTTCCGCAGGCGGCGACAGTCGCAGAAACAAAAAAACATGCGTGGTATCAACAAGGAACTGCACTTGGCGTAGCGACCACTTGCGCCATCTCTTGTCTCCCGTGCGAAACGGCGCCGTGTTGTTTGAAGACCGGTGGCGTCGCTGCGTTTCCATAGGAGCATAGGACCTATCCATTGAGGATAGGTTGAGGCAAATGGACGGGGAGCAATGGGCACGAAAGGTTTTCAGCTATTTATACACGAGGAGTGTAGACACAAAGTGGAGACAGCGCACTAGGAAATTAAGAGGAAAGTTTTTGGGCTATAGCGAAGATACGGAAGAGCAAGTCTCAGTTAAGAAGAAAGTTAAGGCCACAGAAAGAGATTGGTGGCTAGAGGGAATGCAGACAAAAACGGCTCTGGAAAGCTATAGATTAAACAAAAGAGTTATTGCCAAAGAAAGCATTTATGACAATTCTAGGGGAAGCTCATTGCTGTTTGAGGCAAGAACGGGTGTTCTGCGAACCAGAACATACAGAGTGAAGTACCAGGAAATAGATACAGTGTGCACTGCTTGTGGAGAGGAGGACGAGACGGCTGAGCACTTGATACTCTACTGTAAAGGGCTTCACCCTATGCCTACCGAAGACAACATAGATTTAATAAAGTCATTGGGTTTTAGAGACAGCGAAGGGAGAGTGGATTTCAAGACTGTAGAGATTACCAAGCAAAGATTAAGTGAATGGTGGCAGAAATCGAGAGAAAACTAGGTATTTTCTTATCCACTGATGGCAAGGGGGTTTCATAGCCTCACTTTCTTTGCACTGCGGAGTGAATATAGATTTCACATTTAAATATTCTAAGCTTAAATGGTAAAACAAAATGGCTAGGTGGCGTAAGCTACCGTCCGATCCAAAGGGCTCAGCCGTATTCATCCATCCATCCATCCAGCTAAGCCTTTTTCTTTCTTTACTTTTTCCTCAGGTAAGTTCGCTCTTTGCAAATTTTGCAAAAAAAAAAAAAAAAAAAAAATGCACCATCTGTGGGCAACGCTGCCCTAAGTCGTAGCGCGATAGGCTCCTTGCACAGGACGTCATTTCCGTTGCCCTCCAAAGAAGAGGGGAAGAAGGAGCTCCCCTCTTATCAGGACCCTCCTTTGTACCTCCCGGATTTGTACAGGCGTCGCTACTCTCCCCCCAGAAGCAGCTCTGCCCAGAAGATTATAGAAGATTAACCTGTCACTCAAAATTCTTACAAAGGCAGCTTCCCTCTCCTCCTCTTACTTGGTGTTCAAAAGTGTGCGATGTGAAACCGAATTTTGCGGTCGATTTAAAGAGCCTGGCGTCTCTTTGATTCACCCTGTAGTAATTTGGCGCCATTCGAATGTGATGAAGAAGACGAAGGTGTTCACCGGTCGTGGTGTTCACAGGCTCGTCTGAGACCACGGAGGTTACAGGGTGTCCCGAGTCACCGGGCTTAATATAATTTGAACCGGAAAAATCGACGGTCTAAACTTTTCGTCAAAGGTGTATTTCACAGCACAGGTCTGTTTTTTCTTGTAAAATTACAAAACGTAGCTCCCTTTCTGTAAAACACAGGGCCAAAAAACTTGCCGAAGCCGACGACCGAGTCACGTACTTGCGGGGTGCGTTTGGCGCAGGGTGGTTTGGCGCCTGTCGTACTGCACTGGCTAAATTGCTCATTTACAGCGGGCATACCAATATCGCCGTGTTCTGGCAGACTAAGCTTCTGCTGTATAAACAACTAAGGACTAATTTCTTTGGTTTGTAGGTATCTAAATGTAAGCTTTCGGGTTCGGGTTGTTTCTAGCCTCTCATAAACTTTTTTTTTTTTTTTTTTTTTTTGGTGGCGCAGCAGGTTGCAGTTTTAGACAGACCGTTGTCCGACAAAACCGTCCGCTCAAGCTCGTAAAAACAGCAACAACAAATGGTCTGGCTTGTGACATTTAGGGGCATTTGGTGCTGGTGTCGCCGTGTCGCTGAACCCATATAAAATAAATCTAGCGAAAACGGCCCTGTAAAATTTATTTACAGAAACACGCAAATACCATAACCATAACTTTTGTCATCAAAGTAATTATAAGTTCAAAATTGCCTCAATTTTAAACTTAAATTAAAAATTTATAAAAAAAAACGCTTATTTTTAATGAACAATCTGCTTTTTTTTTTTTTTTTTTCATTGCAACATCAAATTATTATAATTAAAAAAGACCTACCAGAAAAAAAAAAAAAAAAAGGCAAAAATTTTGTGTCAGAAGTGGGATTCGAACCCACGCCCACATTCGTGGACCAGAAGCCTCAACAACCCTGGCACAGGGCAAGGTGAACCCTTGAGTCTGGCGCCTTAGACCGCTCGGCCATCCTGACACCACTGTTTTCCCTAGATTTAGAGAAGGTATTTGAAGATATTACTTAACACTTCGAACGTTTCCATAGTTTTTGCTTATTTCTTGTCAATTTCTCTAATGACCTTTTGTCTCTGCTGTTCCCTCTAAGGGAGTCGCATTTTCCATGCATTAGACATCGGCAAAATCACGATAGGCATTCCAGTTTTCTACACGGTGGCTCATGTGACTTCCCATGGATTTCCCTGTTTTGAAGCTGCGGGTAGGCCGTCGTTGTTGGACTGCGATCGCCCTACGGAAACTACACGATCGCGTAAACTATCAATGCAGCGGTGTAAAGGTGTAGATACTCAAACGTGATCGCACCGATGGGTACCTTACGCGATCCAACCCGCGTTTTTGTAGCTCACCGTCGACACTCAAGGCCTCGCTACATCGTGTGCTAGTTCGTCGCTGATCCATGCTGGTCCCGTTAGACAACTTCTGCTGTTTTTGATAAAATTATATAAGCACGGACATTAAGCGGAAATGGTGAATTTCGCAAAGGCGATCGCCGTCAAGGTGTGGAGATTATTCCTCGGTTTCTTTGGTGTCGTGCGCCGAGCGTTTTGCTGCTTTCGAAGGCGTCGACGAGCGTCGGACGTCGGACTGCCAGTTTCTGTGTCGGACCATGGTATCAGTATCGCGCAAACCAAGGTAAGTCACTTGCAAAAGCCTAAATCTTAAATACTCACGCAGACAAAAAAAAGAAAAAAAAAAAAGGAGCTTGGAATCGTGCTTGAGCACAACTAAACCCCATTCGCAATGGTTACAGCCCTGTGGTATGTACAGCCATGTCATGAGTCATTGGTATTTGGTATTTATTTGCGCTCGTGAGCGCAGGCGCCACAGAAAGGCGTGTAAGCCCGTACAATAATGCCTGTGTGGCCCGTCTAGAGGGGGTGATAATGTTAGTGATTAGTGACACACGTTCGTTTCTTTTTAGAAACGCCAGTTTGCATTTGGACACATCTGCTGCCTAATTTTGCGGAACTGCCGCCCTATTTTCATCTGGTTGAAAGAATCTGAGTCATGATCAATGCATATATTTTCACCAGCATTCAGGAAAAAAAAAAAAAAAAAGCGGGAGCATTACATGCCTGTGGTTCACAACCAATCTATAATGCCTCAAAAAAACTCGCCATGTGGCACCCATAGAGTTATTATAATGTACGCTAGAGGTTCAACTGGCGCTAGTGTCTATGCGACTTCCGGGAGGCAAATTGAAGCAGACAGCAACCAGTCTACTTTTGCGGTGCTCCTGTGCATTCCTATGGGAAAACGCACGTGCATTTTGTCTCTTCGCCGGAAAACAACATGAATAACTTTTGTTATTTCTGTCGTAACGAATAGTATGTACCTTTATTGGTATTGTGAAAGTGTAATTGCTTTAGTTACAGCATTTTTCTTTACCTCTGAACGATGTTAAACTTTGCTATATTTCAGGCCCAAACCTCTGTTCGACGGCAGGTATGCAAAAACGAGCGACGATTCTAAGCAAGATAACGATCGAAAGGAATGCAGAGTGTGTTCGAGCTTCGCTAGCATTCCGGTGGCGCTTATATATTGCTAATATGCCCGTCCTGTCTTTATATGAAAATGACTCCGTCGTGCGCATCTTTACGATCGGTTAAAAAAATATGTGAACATAAAAAAATAAAGTACGTTGGCCACGAAAGGTGTGTCTTTTTATTATTTCCTATGTCGGGCAGCTTTTATCGGGCACCTGTTCTCTGGCTTCTCCCTATTTGGAAAGATTTGGAGCGTGCGGGTGACGCTTTGGACCCAGAACAAGCATCTTCGCACACGAGTAGAAAGAATAAAGCAGTACTTATTTAATGGAAATCGGACTATATTACGTGGCTTTCAATTTATTTTGGTCGTCTGCATGCACAAGGAGTTACTTATCCAGTGTTACTGCGAAGTTCTTGCCGTCTCTTGGTTTTCCAGATGTCCTTCGTTCGTTTGGCACGTATATCCCCGATGCTAGAAAGCGCCGATGCCGTGTTCGCGCTAACAGTGTCCGACAGTGCACATAAATACACGTACGAAGCGGTTTTAGCAATGTTTTTCAGGCCACGAATTTAAAATAAAAACGCCGTAAGTGACCAATTATTTTGTCTGCGTGACTGAGAAATGCTCCAATGTGCCTAGTACGTACGAATTATTCGTGATATTTGCTCTTATAATCGAGCGCAGAGAGAAAATGCACTCGCTTTTTCCCATAGAAATGCATTACCGGAAGTCAATTTCGGACTGGTTGCTGTCTGCTTCAATTTGCAGCAGCACACTAGCGCCAGTTGAACCTCTAGCGTACATTATAATAACTCTATGGTGGCACCCCCCCAAAAAAAGAAAAAAGTATGTTTTTTTGTTTTTTTTTAACATTTGGTTTAGCTGACTACCATAAAAACAAGGTCTCTAAGATGACTAGTAGAAGCTATGGAATATTCGGAATTCCAACTTTCCTTACAAATGATGGATTGGGGAGAACACTCGAGGTGGCTCGTATTTACCGCCTTTCTTTTTTTCGCCTCTAAAAATGGCGGACGAAAGGGGCACATTGCCTTGAGTCGGAGGGATGCCCCTCCCGTAGGTTAGCAGAAAGTGTAAGTAAGCACGTGCACCTTTCTCGTTGCAATAAGCCCGGCCCTTGCTTCCTCGGCAGCCCGACGACTTTCAGAACTGGGGCAGCTGGAATGAAGAGGATGGCCCCACATCGGTCATGGTGGATGTTTCCGGCAGCTTGTTGGCACAGCCCGGTGCGTCTAGTCAACGCTCTGCAAACGGCTCTGTGCCCCGACCGAGCCTGACGAGGTCCGGAAGCGGAGACTCGCAGCGAGATCCGGAAGACGACATGGACTTCTTCAAGGACATGACCCCCAGGGTGGTCCGACAAAAGAAGGTGACTAGTGCCTTCGGTCGGGCTATGGCGCCTGGAACGCGTCTCCGACTGGTGCGTGTAGCATCCTATCCCGTTCATACGTCAAAAGTGGTCCCGAAGTGGCAACAATTGACGTCACAAAAGCTGAAGTGTCACGCTGTTGGATGTTGGGATCGTGGTGATTAATCGTAGTTTTGGCAAGAAAACTCGAGCAAACGTGAGTCTTGCTTTCGTCACGGCGTCCCAAGTCCTGCCTGCAGAAACCTCTGTGGACCGTCACGCTGGAGAGCAACCTGCTGCAGAACAGGCGTCTGCCACAAACACCACCGCTGCTGGGGCGCATGACGTCATCAGGCGGAAATTAGGGGACCACTTTTTTGCATGCGTTAAACACAAGTCGTAGACATGTTCCAGGCACCATAGTCGGGCTTTCTGGATGTAGACGTGAGGACTAGAGGATTAATGGCACAGTTGAACAGCATTTCTTTGGTATAGCTCCCACGGTGCAAAGGGGAGGTGACATATAGTGAGGTTGTCGTCTGCTCTTCTGTCCCAGGGGCTATGCAGAGAGTAAGTCATCTGGTTCTTGCCCAGGTGTTACAGTGACGTCAGAACGATGCCGAGTTTCGATTGACTTTGATTGGAAGGATAGTGGGCAGACCTCAATGCTAGATGCCTTGAGGTCTATTCACTATTTTGTTCAATCAGCCAAAAAGAGCTCGGCATTCTGACATCATCGAAAACTCTGTGCAAAAAGCAGACAAATTTGCGCTATGCTTATACGATGTTACACTCGACAGTCTGAACTACTCTTCATATGCTCCCGCCACTACTCAAACTATTTTAGCCCATTTCTTACCCGCTTAGCAACATACATGGTTCTGTGGACGTTATGAAGATGTTCCAACTTTTCATGGATGCCTGTTGGGACGTCTGTTGTCGCCTGGGCTAGACCTGTCGATTTTACAGCTGTCGGACATTATAGACTACTTCATAAAGTGACCTGTCCTCATCTCAGTTCAGCGAAGTCGTGGAGTCCGAGGGAAATTTCCTCGTAAAAAAGGGGATGAAACATGAAATTCGATAGACCTATTGCCTGCTGTCGATAAAAGATTGTAGCTGAAAACCATAAGAGCAGGACAGGACAGCAGCGACATACGGAGTCAGGCGAGTCAGTAGATTCTGTAAATGTTATAAAACGGTGCGAAACACGCAGGGACAAGGAAAAAGGGACACAATACTTTTTGTGTTTCTTTTATTTTCGTGTTTATAGGAGAAAAAAAAAAAAAAAAAAAGGACCCTTGTATTCAGCATTGTGTACGTGTCCTTCTTTTTCCATGTGCTTGGGCTGTTTTCTAATAGATATAGGACATTATTAATTGGAAATGGCGGAATGAGCACTGTACATGACTATACACAACCCAGTTTATAGTTGGGTACGATTCCTAGACGCAGCAACATTGTTCCATTCACACTAGGATGGTGGTGTTGTGGCGAGAAAGGCAGCTTCCTAAACATCATGGTATTGCTGTTCCAGCTTGGTTTGTAGAATCATTGAGGGAGTGTATCAGTATGTTCAGCCAGTCAACTTTGACAGAGACAAGATTGCATGACCATCATTTTCAGTACGTGCCACGGGTGGATGATTCTCTCCCCCACGAGGGACTGTCCAGCCGCCTCAAATTCGATGCAAAAGCTGGGATTCGTCAGGTATGGCACTCTTACAGTCCCGTGTTCATGGTAGAATGTTGCTGAAAGGCTGCATGTTGGTTGCTCTATTTTATTCCCAGTCCGTCTTTTGTACTCTTTCATTGGAGATGAGGCTAACAACTCTCGGAGCCCAATGTACGTCTTATGGTCAATATGGATGTTGCATTATTTTAAGACAAACAGAGCGACTTGTTTTTTTCAGTTCTTGGTTGTAAAAAAGGGCAACCTGTAAACCATTTTTTATTGGAAACATTTACGATTATGAAACATCTTTATTGAAATATTTATTTGACTTTTTACCTTTTTGCTTTGCAGTGAAGGAGGCCTTTGCCAAAAAATAGTGCTATAGGACAGAGTAGCTCTGTATGTTATGTCCCTTAACCAGCTCTTACACATTGTTGTTAAAATGAAATTCGGTCCAGCTATGCAAGATTCATAAAGATGAAAGAAATAAAAGTCAGTCGAAGAGCGTACAAAATGTTTCTTGGAACTGCCCCTGATCTAGGGCGTCTGAAATGCCAGTCTCGACAGTGATGCAAGCCACGTTCGAGCCTTCTTTTTTTTGAACCCGGTTCCCATAACAGTTGCTATACTTGTGGACAACTTTCGTTGGCTTGCAGTCAAAGCTACAGAGGCATGTGCAAGAGTGCATCATAAAGCTGTAAATGCGCACCCCTCCTCTTCGAAAATGCCTTAGAAAGTTGTCCACGGGTATAGTATGCAGGACAGAATGCGCAGAGCAAGTCGTCTGCTCCTTGCGGAGGAGTTGCGGCGACGTCAGAACGACGCCAAGATCCGATTGGCTTTGATTGAAACAATAGTGGGTCGATCTCAATCCTAGATGCATCGAGGTCTACCCACTATTTTTTTCAATGAGCCAATAACAGCTCGGCATTCTGACACCATCGCAACCCCTGTGCAAGCAGCAGACAAACTTGCACTCCACGTTGTGCATTCTAGTTCGTTTTGTTCAATACCGTATGTATCCAAGTCTCTAGGGGCTGTTGGCTCAGTTTTTGACCAGGCTGCTCGTGCGAACGTTCCAGGGATCGGAACTGGGCGTCCTTGAAGACGAAGCGGACACAAATACCTGGGAAGATCTCGCGGAGCTCGAGGACTCTGCGGAGCTGACGTCTGCGATCCGCGAGAAACGGCAGGCAGAGCGGGAGAGGAGAATGGCGGAGCACCAGCGAAAAAAGCAAGAGAAAGAGCTGCGCCGCGCGAGTGCAGGGACGAGAGTCCGGATCGGCTGATCGGTGCCAATCGTCCAGCATCCTACCAACATTCGCCAGCTCGTGGAGTGCTCTCTTTCTCCTTTGTTTTGACTGCGCTGAAGCACTTTCGGATTCATTGAAATCTCAGTCTTGCGAGACTTTTGAGGTGATCGGGGACAGCGGCGGCGGAAAGATTGGGGGAGGTTTGCTATTGTTTTCTTTGATTTTCATGCTTTTTTATGGGCGCATTCCAAACATTTCACTCGCGACATATGTCAATGCACTATACTTCGTTTCACTTCAATCTTCAAGTCTGAACACACTCGATGCTACGAGCTGATGGGATTAATCAGACGGTGTAGAAAGCTCACCGACACGGTGTTTGTCATGTGTCTGTACGTGTTCCATCATTGCTCAGCCGTACAGTGACTCTAGCTCAGCCAATCATGCACAGGGAACGCCCAGTGCCTTGCGCTTTTGATGCCGTTTGATTGGCCCCGTCTGCTTGTAGCGTCCGGACTTAACGAAGTACAGGCACAATTTGTGGCATTTTACATTTGCCGCGAGCGTTCGAGCATCTGGTGCCACGAGAAAAATATTGATGCTGGCAATGTTGAGGCCCAAAATTCAGTGGAAGGTTCAGTCCGCGCTGCAAAGCTGTACCCAGATTTGTCGCTGAAAGAGTCGAGTCATGGGAGGGCATACATATTATATGAGAGATGTGCAACTTGTAAATAAATTTGTTGTGGTCCAAAAAATAAATACATGGTTGGTCTCACAATAAACCTCTGGCCCCCCCCTCGCCTCCTCCTAGAAAGTGCAAGCATGCCGGTGGAAAAGAACTGCAAAACAACTTTATTATAAGTGCCGGTAGGTGCCACGACCCGTCGGCACATCAAACGAGTGGTAGGTTAATATGTAAAGCACCACATTTTGAAGCCACTTAATACTACTTCATAAACGCAGCACAAGCTGAGAAGTGAACAAAGCGATGGGATTGGCCGTCTGGTTGTTGACCACTCTGGAGCGAGCCCACAGTCTTCCATCTTTCGACCCCTCTGGGCCACAAGGCAAAACCCGGCAATTGAGACAATTGGCACGAGGAACCGCCAGTGACTTCCCATGGACGAGCAACCGCGCACAGAGAGTTTTGAGTTAATTGGTTAGGGCTTGATCAGCAGCGCACTTTGCAGGGGGCCTGGAAGGTTCCCAGCTTCATCTGCTGCTTCTCTGGAAAGAGTCAAAAATACATACAGATGAACAAACGCGCGTTTACTGGCGCGACTGCTGGTTAACCCATCGCCTACAAAAGTCGGTTTGTAGAATGCTGCAGTGTGCTCTAAATCATTGTCGGCTCGGCGCAATATCCGAACGACTAAAATACAACAAATCGCGCATTTGTTTTCTTTTTTGTTTTTCTCTACTCAACGATTGAAAGCAGTTGGCACAGATTCCAAATTTAGGCCTCACCGGCTGTACACTGCTATACTCCATTCAATCTTAAAGGGATGCTGAACCGAAATCTGGATTCCCCAAAACTCGCGGCAAAAGCGTGCAACGGGATGCTACAAACACAAAAACATCACTCATACAGCGATATCTCGAACGGATGACCATATTTTTCAAACAAAGAGGCGCATTTGGCAGGAATGTTGACGTCATGTTTCTCCGAGAAGGGGAGGGAACGGCCTCGCGTCTTCTCCGCCTCGCGGCCTTGAGGGAGCGAAGAGAAGAGATGAGGAAACTAGGTATCTTCACGTCATGCGCCTCGTCGGCCTCGCTCAATTTCGACTTCTTTTTCCAAAAATACGGCCGTCCATTCGATATATCGCCTTACTAGTAGTGTTGTAGGGATTGTAGCGTCCCGCCTACATTATTTTCACCATCGCGGATGGTGAAAATAATGATGGTGAAAAATAATGCTGGATTTTCATCCAGCATTATTTTTTTGAAATCCAAATTTCGGTTCACCATCGCGGATGATGAACCGAAATCTGGATTTTAGAAAATAAGGTAGCAGGAGTGCTTAATAGGGCGCCACAAACTTCAAAACACCACTCATAAAGCAGTATCTCGAACGGATGGCCGTATTTTTAAAATAAGGATGCGATTGAGTGACAATCGCGACGTCGTGTTTCCTGCAGAATAGTTGAGGAGGGGAAATGGCCTTGCTTCCTTCCCTCTTTGTGTCCGCGCGAAGTCAAAGCGAGAAGAGGCGGAAATGAGAATCGCAACGTCACGGGCCTTTTTCGCCTTGTTCAAGCGCACTCTTCTTTTACAAAAATGCGACCATCCGTTGGGGATATCACTTTGTGAGTGATGTTTTAGGGTTTGCAGCGTCGCGCCTAGCGCTTTTGCGTCGTTTTCTGAAATCAAAATCTTGGTTCAGCATTCTTTTAAGTTGAGACAGAAGCTCCGCCTTCAGTGCCAGCTTCCTGCCCTTGCTAACACAACCGTGAACGCGCAGGCGCGCACAACCAAAGCACTGCGGAAGCCAGCAAGCTTGCGCTGAAGGTGGAGCTTCTAGTCTTAGCTTAAGGGTGAACGGAGTATAAGGCCTACTTCAAAGAGTTAATAACTGAAGTTGCTCAAATCTGGCAACAGTACAGTTCGATACGTTCATTTCTTAGCCCACACGCAAACTATTTTCACAATACAAAACAATGAATATACATTGATTTTATAAGTACCTTTTGACTCTGTCATTTCACTTGTCCTCCCCTGAATTCATTAGCTTTATTAAACAAACATCAGGATTAATTAAAAATATACCCACCATCCGCACCTGCCACCCCGAAAAATGGAACGTGTTTCCTTTTCTCACAAACTACAGTTTGCAGTCTTTAAAACATAATCTACCCTCATTGTGCAAGAAATATTGCATTAATGGCATGCATGGTTACTCAATAAATTCTAAACCGTTGTATATACTTTTTACATAGCATGTGACGTAAATCCGTGATACGTTTATCTCTCATGCATGTATTTATTTTGTTGCTGAAATCTCTCTACTTATTTCTGTATAACCGTAGCCGCCTGCAAGGTATGCGGGGCACGGACCCATTGAGTCAACATCTGTCGACTTCTTGTCCGTACCTCCGTCGTCTGTAGCCAACAGACCTTTGCAAAAAGAGCTCTCTGGTCGCCACCATTTTGTGACTCGAGCGACCCCTATCTGCCAGAAATTTCTGCCGCCCGCTTGAGCTATGGAAACCCGGTCAGCACAACTCCCCCACCCGCATTGTGCATTCGGAGTTTGCCGGATTTTCTTGAAAGCTTTTACTTTATTTGCCTGTTCAGGATACTTACCATTTCTGTGTTATCTTCCACTTTGAGAACCAGGGAATATCAGTAACCATAGCCTGCTCGGCCCTTGCAAAAAACAAACAAAGAGAGCGAACGTCAAGCAGCCCGCGACGCGGGCCGTTTGACGTTCTTCGAGGATTATTTATATTGAGGTAATCTCCAAAATGTCTTCCCGGCTATGTTCCCGGTCTTTCCTTAAAACATTTTCGAAAACAAGCCGTATTCCGTCCGATCGTCGTGAAGGGACTGTCGTCGGCACTGTATATTGGATATGCTGTGTTACTTGAGACCTTTCTCAAATCCTGTTCGGATAACACAGTACCGTAAGGTATGTACAATATATGTTCTTTGATTGATGAGACTCGTTGAATTTCATGTCGTGAGCGGGGAATACCCGTGCAGTTCGGCTATTTTTTGTGGTCCAATATTTTTGAGTTGGGACCTTTGTAAATTGACACGGCTAAGTGTATGGTGTCGTAAAAAGATCAAAATAAGATGAAACAAACATTCCAGTTGCATTTGTTTTTTTGTGAACAAACACCAAAAATTGCTTTCATTTGTTTGTTTTTCTTTCCAGAAATAGTACACTGCTTTAAAGACCTCTATAAATTCTATTCGCCATAGAACACAGAATAAGAAAGAAAACGCGGCAAGTCAGCCGCCCAGGCTGGCACAGCCCACTGACGAGAAACTACACAGCACAGCACAGTTGGGCAACACTGACATACTCTCAAAACCAGGGACGCGCGCTGTGAATCGCTTTGTTCGAGACTGCCGCTGGAAAGGTGTATACAGATGCAAAAATAAATATTATATTATCAGATATATTGATAAGGTGAGGAAAAAAAAAAAAGAAACGTTTATCTAGAACAGGGGCCTCCCAAAGTTTTTGGCTAAGGAGCCGAATAGACCGATCTCACCAAGCGTTGCACGCATGCGTGACGCCGCCATAACTGTAGTTCATAGGGTGCAGACTCCAGTTCACGAGAAAGCTCATGCCACCTCGTGCTCTGCTTGCACAGAGCTCCAGCCGGGTTGTCGCGCGTGCAGAAAGACTACAGCTCCCACGATGCATGGCGGCAGCCGTGGCGTACTCAAACTAGCTGGTGAGATCGGTCTATTGGCGATCTGTTTCAGTCTCAAGGGCCCGAAAATAAACAAGTAAATATAGTACTAGATAAAGAATTTTTGATCAGCATTTTAATTAAAAAAATTAAAAGTTGGAGCAAAAACTAAAAAAAAGCAATCTAAGGTGGATGAATATGAATACTTTATTTAGAAATTCAATATTAAGGTAATTATTACATTGCACAATAATTGGGACCCATAAAACTCGCCAAGCATAAAACGAAGTGCAATGAGACTGGCATACTCGCACAAGGCAGAAGACTAGTGAGAATGATAGAACTGATGCTAACAATATGCAATAGTTACGACACAGGACGCTAAGCACAATAGACTGAGGACGCAAAGGAATTTTTGGATGTGTAGTTAGATATAAAACGGGACTAAGAATGGTGATGACAATAACCAATTGTTAATATGGCGAGAGGACCCGCGTTACGGTAGGCAGTTTTCACTCATTCTTCCTGGCATGTTGGTGCACGTTACGGCGCCGTTTTCTTACACGCGCTTATTTTTGCGGCCCCGGTAAAAGCGGGCCGCGGGCTAGGCTTCATTGGGAGGACCACAGCAAGCCACAGGCAAGCCAGAAAACCTCCGCAGGCCGGACTTAGACCGTGAGCCAGGGTTAGCAGACCCCTGATCAAAAACAATTTTTTCTAAAAACAATATAAGTTCCAATCAATACCATATTGCTCGCAGTTTAGTTGTATATGTATTTATTCGGCTAGCTTAGAGGCCCAAATGGGCATTATATAAGTGGGAGCCGTACAGAGAGTAAAAACGACGCAACAAACGGCAGAGACAAGGTTGAGACTCATGATAGCAGGGTATCAGTAACACAACGGTAACAGTAACGCAAAAGATAACTGGATGGAGGCATTGGCATTCGTCAAATGACGAAAGCAGCCTGCGATGACTCGCCTTCCGGAGATTGTGAGGCAGCATGGCAAGAGCCCCAAAACAGCTGCCGTACCTGATAACCTGAGCTGCGGCACTGCAAATACTCCCAGCCACTCGTCACTGCCGTCACAGCAGTCGCAGATGCCGTCGTTCACGCGGGTCGCCGGGATGTATCCGGGCTTTCCAGGCGTCTCCTGTTTACAGAAGAACCTGCAACCACACGGGACGGACCTTAGCACAGACCTCTTCAACCGCCCCGTAGGAGCCAGACCGCAACTATACCAAGCGTGCGTACGGTAGGTGTCAATATTTTGTAAGATAGCCGCGTCCGGGATCCGGCTTTCGAGGCATGTAGTGTACGAGCATTTCATTGCGTCAGACGGATGTTTGATTGCAGTAGACAAAAGATTTGGACAACAATACGACACGTGAAAAGTACTAACAGCGCAACGACACGGACAGAGTAACTAAGGACAGACAAACACCGGCGCTGTGGAGCTGGTGTTTGTCTTTTACTCTGTGTCATTTAATTACTCCTAAGTGCCCGAAGGCATCACATGAGGACGGAACAAAGTAATAAATACACTTTAAATGTAAAACATAAAATTCAAAGAGGTTAAAAACAGCAAACAAAAAGAAAGCAATAGCTACACAGCAATGTTGTACATAGAGTTAAAATAAGGAGAATAATTCTTTGCAAGCACTCTTAAACTCACTACAACTGGAAATGTTTACCACTCTCTCAGGCAGGTCCTTCCATTCCTCAATAGGCACATTTAAAAGAAACTGAGTACTGCTTGGAGCGAAATGGGGGTAACCTAATTTTGTGCTGATGATCGTGCCTGGGAAAAATTCGGTGAGGGGGAAGTAAAAGGTGACTACCGTAAATTACCGAGGAAGCGCCCGTGTCTAAATTAATCCAGTTTTCAGTGAAAGTGGGTATTTTTACGGTAAGAGGCAGTATTTTACGGTAAGATGCGGATTATGGTAGTATACTCGGTGAAGGGTCATTCGTGATGCTTTACATCCGGTGCATCGAGATGCAAGGCCAGCTTTGGGCTTTAGAACTGTCACACCTTTAATGACGAACTGAACAGCCCATTTGTCTACATTAATATGATACAATCAGATGCGAGAAACTGCCCCCGTAGAGAAGTGCGGTCTGGGCGAGCAGAACTGCAAGAAACGTTTTGGGAGTATCGCGATGTGAGAAATTGATCGCGCTGCTGCATGACGAGATAGATGGGAGTGAATGAGCAGAAGTAAGATGGAAGGAAATGCTGCTCCTATTTCAAGCATGGGAAGCCAGTTTTTCCTTTTATTTCAGCTTCTCCATATGGCATGCAAATTTTCTTTTATATGTCAGCTTTTCATTGTGCCATTTGACGAATGCTTCAGTTTGAGCCGGGAACTGTAAACTTTGTAACATGAGCGAAACAGACGCTTTTCAAAAGTCCGTCAAGCGACACTGGCTGCAGTCATATTTTGGGCATCGTCAGTGCACAGCTCACGCCGTGCATCGACGATGTGCTCGTATTGAATGCCTTTGTACACAAGTAAGCGCTCGACGCCGACACGGCACTCGTGTTTAACGCATGCTCGAAGTGCGTGCCCAAAATATGGCAGCCATGGAGCAGTTACCGGAGGGTGCACACCCAATCCATCTACAGTGTTTCCTCCCCCAAAATTTACAGGGTATTTTTATACCACACAAGTACAATATGCATTGCTGAATGCTCATTTTCCTCCCACATGTGCGGTCCAAACCACATACCGAAGTTTCACAATTAACCATCGTCTTACTATAAAGGGATAAGTGTTTTTTTTAATAATTTTTAATGGAAAATTGGGCCTGTTCTTGCTAACTGTCGCCCTCTTGCTCTATGCATTCATGCCATCACCTTACCATTAAAAATTTCAGAAAATCACTCGTAGCTTTTCATTACCTTAACGGTTCTTTCTGAAACTTTGGCATCGGGTTCGAAGTGCTAGTGCTACATTTGAGCAGAGAACCAGCGTTCGGCAACGCATAAGATATTCTATTTCTTAAAGGGGCGATGCAACGATTTTTGTACTTGGCACAAATACCGCTTAGAACGGATCTCCGACTTTAATGACCTGCAAAACACCTGTTTAATTTTCACCATACGCAGTCAAGTCGTAGGAAAAAAAAAACAAAAAAAAAAAGAGCAGCGTTAATTCCCCCCCACTTTAGCCAGAACAAGCGGCCACGTGATTTGAAGCCGACTATATGCCGCCAATGTTGATCATAGCCATGCCTTGGGGTTGGCAAGGCACAGGACACGCGCTGAGTTCCAGACATTGTTATGGTTCGGCTCTTGTCGTCATTGCAGCGATTGGACATGGGCCACTACCCAAAAGCTTCTCGAGCTATCGTTTACCATGAGTCAAAATCGAGCGCCTACACAATTCTCGGGTCTAATCATGAGCTGCATTCAAATATCATCACTGGGCGGTACTGTGACCGCCCAGCTACATCATCAAGCTTTGCGAAGGAGGCATTGAATGAAAACGCTCGCTCTTGTCCTTGAAATTACACCGCAACAAGGGAGTTTCTTGGCTGGTGGCGCTGCGTGCGAGTATCCTCGAGTCCCACTAGTACCAGTAAGCTCGTGTAAAGTGAAAAATATTCCAAATGAATATCGGTGCCCCGCCTCTTTAACAACTTGATACTCTGCGATCACACCGAGGATGGTCTTTGTTGCATCATACCTTCCATTCAAGCAGGCATTTGTGGCCGGTTCATCAGAGCCGTCTTCGCAGTCGCAGTAATCGTCGTTGACTTGAGTGAACATGATCGTCACGTCTCCTTTGAGGCATTTGAACCACTTCCTGTTGGCGTAGAGAGCCTGGTCTTGCGGAGCGACACCCCTGACTGAAGGCATTTCTCCTTTGCCGTCGCCAGGGGCCGCCACAGTCTTTGCACTGGAAGGCGGGCTCGGCCTGCCGGCACCTTTTGTCTGGCTTCCCCTGGAGACCTCTCGGAGGGAGAACAACTGACGTGTCATGTAGAGGACCCCGATGACAAAGAGGGCAAGGAGGAGGTGGCGGCGTTTAACCGTCGTCCTGAGCTTGGGTAGGGTGAACATGTCAGCTCATGCTTTGATGTGTTCCTGCACGACAACGAACAGTTCTTTGAGCTGGCTGCTCCCGAGAAGATTGTCATTAATTGCAGCAACGCAGAAAAACGTGGAAATTTAATGTGCCTCAGCCCGTTCTGAAATTCGGTACACTGAACAGGTTAGCATAAATGAACGCTTTCGTGTGCCGCATTCTCGAACGCTCCGGTAAGCAGCAAGAAAGATATTTCTCAATTTACCATAGATTTCATTATAGAATTGGAATCTCAAAGGTGCCAAAGCGTTTGTGGGCCACATCAACATGGCCCGCGCTGAGGACTGTCTACGCAGTCGGTTGGTACCCAAAAAAAGGCATATCGCGCGATATCCGAGGTAGACAGTGGGTCTGCCGGTCTTGTCACGCAATGAAGCTAACATCTCCGCAGTAAATTACAGCGGATTTAACCTAATTGTTTGCCGAGAGCGACATGCGTTGCATGGTCGAACGGCGGCCGTAAAAAAGGAAGGCGCTATTCCAGTCAGCCAGCTGTCGGAACAAGTTCTCGGTGGCTGCGTATCTTTGGGTACGCGGAAACGAACGGCTGACAGCCGCCGAGTCCGAAAAGGAAACACGGCGGGCAAGAGCGAGTGGGAATCAAAACAAAATTAAATTCACCCGTTCCACGTCCAGAAAGATTCCATTTCGGGGTACACACGCAGCGAGGTCGAGGAGGTACGCCTCGTCGCCGCCGCCGCCGACCGGCGGCGCTACGAGCTTCCGTCACGCTTAACTTCCGTCACGCCCAACTTCCGGAATTGCGTAACTTCCTGTATCGCCGCGACCTGGTTTTTCAAGATGGTGCCCCGTGTTGTGTGAGTGAACGCGCTTCTCCATTTCTTTTCCTCCCCCCGACATATCGAATGCAAAATTCTGAGAAAGTGGCGTGAAAAAAAGATGACCGGTGAAAGTGTTCCAAATTGCGTCGCACGCCGCAGCGATGGAGAACTGGCGAAAATTAATTAAATCGGGTGAGTTTTCGCAGCAGTCTTTGCCGCTTCATCCAGTTTGTTTCAGCTATTTTTGTTGGGTATTTTTTTCTCTTGTCCCCCGCTGCTTGCCAGACCGATGTTCGCTTTTATACGCCGCTTCGTCGCGTTTAGTTCGATCTTGAGAGGTTCTCTGCTTCTGAGGCCTTGGGTCGCGTTCTGTGCACTAGTTTGCTGCGGGGAAGCACACACGGGTGGTGCGAGAGCCGCTGGACATTACGCAATGCGAATTTTACCTTTAATCCTAGGGTTAGCTTTAGGCCTTCCTACCTTATTTTCTTTTTCTTGTTAAGGTATTGGCTCCCCTTAAAGGCCTCGTTTTGCTGCAGAAGCGGCGTACTTTCGTGCTCGAAGATTCCGTAACCCGATCGAAGTCTAGCTGAGTGGGTGGGCGGTATTTGGCAGCACTTCGGGATGCGTCACTTGTAGCACGAGCGCTCCCTCCGCTCGTCAAAACAAATCGGGGCGTTGTACGGTTGTACTACGGTAGTGTACTGTGCGAGGCATTTATTTTTTATGTGACTGTGTCCGATTAATCTACACACACCGGGCTCAACACGCAAGAAAAAAGAATATATATAAAAAAAGTTTTATTAATTTTTTTGTGAATTCTTGTGACCCAACACTCGGGGTAGTTATGCAAGCGTCGGCAGCACAGCTCTGTCGAGCATCCGTCAGACGGGCGCAACCACAGTACGATTTCACACTGACTAACTCCTGTTTTTTTCTTGTTTTTTTTTTTTTTTTTTTTTGTTTTTTAGTCTGTGTCGTGACGCGTGAGCAAGCCTGCCGCTCGACTTCGCGGTTGTACGACTGTCGTGAAATCTAATGTTGGCCCGCCCGCCCACCCGAACTCTCTTTAAAAGAAAAAAAAAACATGATCTTTCTTTAGTTAGCGTTTTTATTTTTGAATGGGCTTGTTTTCTTCGTCTTCGGACTTCTTGACTCCATTTAAAAAGCTATAATTACGATAAATTTGAACCTCAAACGAGCTTATCAACTGTGACCTAACGCAAATGAGTTGATTTTATCTGGCTTCTCTCAATAATGAAGTCTTAGTACAATGACCCGCTCCCCCCCGAACCTCCCCCTCCCAACCCCCCCCCCCTTTCCCCCCCCCCTCCTCCCCCCCCCCCCCCCCCCCCCCCCCCAAAAAAAAAAAGAAGAAGAATAACGCCGCACAAAAACGGGGATATCGCTCGTCTAGTGCCGCGAAAATAGATGCATTCAATCTGTTTGCGACGTGCCTGTGTCGGCTTGACGAACGTCATGGTATGTTCGGATATGTGCAATGTTCGTGCGTCATCTTTTGCCGAGATACACACGCTCGTGTTCTGACGCGAAACTGCGCAGCAGACGGCCCGAAAGGCTGGCCTTGTCTTCAAGGTTGCGTGAATCGCTTAAAATTATGTTGAGCGTCGCAAGGCCTCTAGCTTTACTACGACGTTTTCGATTTAGCCCCAAGTTTAAAGCACGCGAAAACAACAAAACAAGTCCGCCGGGTATTGGAAAGAGCCAAAAAGAGAGCAGAGCAAATACGAAGAAGGTAAACTCGATGGTCGATTTTCTTATGATTGGTTAGCTGCAGTCACGTGGGAGGTGTTACGCAACCGAATTTGCGGAGACTCGCACGGTATGCTGCGCGATTCAATATGTTTGTTTATTTTTTGGACTTGTTAGTTTTGTCTGGGGCGTCTTTTTTTCTTCGGTTTTGCTTTGTTTACAAAAAAAGCAAGAAACAAATAGAACAAAACAAAACGAAAAAAAAAAAAAAAAAAAAAAAACGTGGCTGTAGTGTGCAAGTGTTTTTATTGAGCAGGGCATGTATCTTTCCTTTTTTGATAGCCTGTAGACGTTTTTACAACTAAATTTGTACCAGGTTACAATGTTGGTAAGGCTAAATAGTGTTTGCACCACCAAACACGTCTGTATTTTACCTTTGTGCCTCTGTATATGTAACCGATTAGTTTGCTTCCTAGTTCATGACAGCTTTGAAGGAGTGAGTGTGCATAAGCCTATCTGTAAACTGCAGGATGAGATAAAAACAACATACATTTTATTCTAAAGCTTATCATTAGCTATAAATGCCACATACAGCTAAACCCAGAAAATAAAACTAGTCACGATAACCGCTGACATTACTGTAAGCAAAGTTGACATAAACTTGCCTAAAACCAAGGCATTTTTTTCTTTTCTTGCCTGCTGTGAGACCTGTAATGAAGAGGAAACAGCTGTGACTTATTGTCGTGGTGATGGCTGTGACAGGCATTTATTGATCTCGTTGTGCTTGCTGCATTGTTTACGAGTTCAGTGACGAGATACGACGGATGCTGCTTTATCACGAGGCCGTCTGGTTTTCATTGTTTAATTTTGAACTGCTGCAACGCGCGCGACGTTGGGTAGCAGGTGGGGGCTTGTAAAGTCCGTGGTGCCGTGTCAGCCGACAGTCTGAATGGGCTCGAAGCGGTTTGATCCCACACTATCCCGGTCCCGAGAGAACGTCCCGATAGTGCTATCTTTGTTTGTGTGTGACTGCAGGATGCTGGTTTTGGCATTACTTGCTGTCAGCTGACTGCCGCGAAATTAAGCCTGAACACACGACAGATTGCTGGTACGCACTAGGTGTAGCCCTACATACGTGGGTTTTAGACCTCGCTATTCTCCAGGTGATGGTTTCGGGCTACACCTCAGTTGGAGTCGGGTAATTTTAGGAGTTGTCGTCTCTTATAAAATCTGCAGGTGTAAATATTCTTGTTTAATTCTGCCTGAAAATAACGGTTCAATTCAGCTTTGGGCGTTTTCGGGATGCCTAGACTAGTGCCACTGTGTTTTAAGCAGCGTTGAAGGCTACTTAGGAGGTTGTGCAGAGGGCTATTTGACATCTACTCTACTGCTTATGAGCAAGCAAGGAACGGACACTTCTACTTCTTTGTCGAAGCGGTAGATTTGGAAAGTGAGGAGCGGACACTTTTACTTGTTTGTCGAAGCGGTAGATTTGGAAAGCAACAAAGGCCAGGAATACAAGAAATGGAATTCTTCTAGGCTCTCATCCAATGGCAATTTATTTTAGAAAAGAAATGGCAACTAGACGCTTCTAGTTGACATTTTTCTTAGTGCTGTTAATGTCTTTCAAGTAAAACATTATATCCTGGCTGGTCTTCTAGATCTCTGTTTCATTCATTTCCAGTGAGTCTCAAGCTAACATCTAACTTGAGCGACATACTTGCAAAAGCAAGACTCGCCATGGTATCTGTGGCTTCACTAGGCATTGTTGCTTTGATAGCGATACTAACGGAGCATGTTTCATGGCAGTGTAATGCGGCAGATGTGCTGATGCTGCAGCACGACATAAGGCCAACAATTAGGTCACATCCGATCAGTTCAAACAGACGAGATAAAGTACCATATATCTACTCGATGGAAGCACAATCACATTTGTAACGTGTGGGGCAACTTTTCATTGCGTTTAATGGGAACAAATAAAACCACGATTGCAGTGCAGCTACTAGAAGAATAAACTAATAGCTTTAGTTGTCAGAAACCCTGGGTATAGTTTTTTGTGAGATTAGTATTGTTCAAGAGGAACAAATCTCAGGGTTCCAGAAGAAAACCACACATTAATAAATCACAATGTTAAAACGTAGAGTAATATACACAAGGTAAAGAGCGGAAACTGCCGTAGGCCCTAGCGGCCCAGATAACATGCAGCACACCTAGCAGGCGGGATTAAAAGTTCATATGGCAGTTTTCCAGTATGGGTAGTTTTGGTTTCTAATTCAGCAGTTTTACTCACGGGCATGCGAATGCGGTCTCTTGATGTTTTAGTCGCAATTTTGGCTGGAATATTTACTGTATTGACATGTAGTTACTACCTATAAGAGCAGTTCTAATCTTAGAAATTGCATACTCTGTGAAGTAAAAATTAGCCGGCATTACACAGCAAAAAATATATTTTGCTGCAATAAAATATTTGTTAAAATTAGCCAAGATGAATCTTGGCTAATTTTAACATTATAAGTAAAACAGGAAGGGATTCAAACACTAATTATTTTTAGCTCCGTTATGTACAGATGAATCAGTCTGGCATAACATGTTTCCTAAGATAGTGATTAATATTTAGAAGAGGAAATTATTATTAACATGATGAATCATTTACAACATACTGAATAAGACAAAGATATCTGGGAAAACATGTGTCATGATTATTTTCCAACCAAGAACATGTGGCATGATTATGTTTCCTGTGCCATAGCAATACACATCTTGATCAGAAAGTGTCACAAAGTCACAGGTCACAGGATAAAAAAAAATCTTCCCTCTCAACCTTCGAAAAGCTACCAGCTAGCGAGGTGTACCATGAGACAGTTTTCAAATCAGTTTTGATAATGAACTCAGCATACTTTAACATTGTTTCTGGTTAAAGCAGAAAACACCAAACCATACATTGGAGATTAAACTAGGTACAGGCGGATTTATAGAGACCAAAAATGCACTGTTAAATAAAATACCTCCTAGTTATGTATAAATAACTTCACACACAAAAAAAAAAATACACCACTACCCTTTGAATTTGTCTAATTGCCTCCCAGAAACAGGAGACTGGAAACATGCTTTATCTAGCTTCCTGTTAACAAAACTGACATGCCAACAGAGACATACTCAGCAAAAACATCTTTAAAAACTTTTTTTAACATTCCTCAGAAAAGAGACGGAAAGGACCAACACTTGACGGTGTTGCAGACAGAACAGCACACACATTTGGAACATGTGCTACACTCTCCACTAGGGCAAGGAAGTGAGATTCTAGCTGCTTGATGAAATCAAAAGCAGCCTCTGAGGGGTACAACTAGATTCCCAAACAATTGACCGGGCACACAATACACTTTTAACATAAGGAAATACTGGTGAGGCGCTGTCACCTTCTCAGACTTGTCCTTCAGAAAATCGGAACAAACACAGTTCTGATTCATTTTCTCGAGAAAAAGTTGGATAATAAATCGTCCGACATATAATGTGCAGGAGTCGTCAGATACACTTGATTTTGTGTTCAACCTAAAAAGCATATTTATTTTTATTTTTTTTTTATTTTTGGACATTGCCTTAACAGTACTGCTTAACGTAGTGCTACTGATTAGCGATTAGTAGATATGACAAAATGTTGGTGTGTTATGTCAGTCAGCCACCCAAATTAGGCAACTGGTCTCTTGGTTGTAAATGAGCAATTTAGTTAGAGGTGTACGGCTGCTAGCCTTGGTCCTTTAATGGACGTCACACAGAGATGATTGCACAAACTTGTGTTGATAATATGCTCATAGGTCTGTAGTACTCAAGTTTTGAGTAGTGCCCCTAGGAAATAAAATCAAAAGCTTTTAGGTTACGGTCTGGTTTCTGAAAGAAAACAAGTACAAAAAGCTAAATGGCAAGTACCTCTAGCCTTCGGACAAAATGCTAAAGGTGCGAGTTGCAGCTTTCTTCGTTAATTTCATGTCTTTCTTTAGCTCCTTTAAACGTTTGGGTAGCGTGCAGGGACATATAATGTCCAGCTTTATATGGCCCTGTTCAATCTTATGCTTGTGAAGGATCTTTCCTCCTGCATGATGGAACACTACGTTTTTTTCAGCCATGCCTTGGTCGCATCTGACGTGTAGCTGCACTTTATTTTAGCATCCTTGCGCTTAAATTTCAATAAATTTGAATCTACTCCCTGGAATATGTTGCCAGCATAAGATTGAAAAACTAGGGGAATTCGGAGAGGCAGTTGAGGTTTAGTCTGTTGAGGTTAGTCTGATGGTAATTATTTCATAACTTTAGGGCTTTGAAATCTTTGAAAAGAACTTTCTTTACATTAGAGCCAATACGGTGTAGTACTTTGAAGTTCTTTAATCGGTGTTGCCTGTTTTGTAGCCTATCCAAGGGATGTTGCCTACCTCCTTTAGTGACTTCTCATTTTAGCTCAGTCCTCTTTAGAAATTCAGGCCTGTCATTGTGGCATTGCATCAAAACTTCGCAGGGAAATAACTGTGTTTTTCTTCTTCATGGTTAAATGCTTATCAGGCTCTCGAGGGAACTCCTATAAGTTAAGCTATAGGGTGGGAAAAGAAGCCTCTGTGCGAGCTTCAGACATCTAGATAATCTGGAGTGGCGCATAATCAGCATTCCCAGCATTGATAAGCGATTCCACATTTGGGGCATTCTTCAAAATTTGGGAATGATAAGGATAGCATTCCTGACTTGTGTGCCAACCTGTACGCATTGCAGTTTGATCCTGACAATTGTTCCCTGGTTATTGTGCCGAGAGTTTGTTTACGTTGAGAACTGAGGAAATAGACGTCTTGCTAAATGTTAAAAACACCAAGGTGCACTGCTTGATGCATTTAGAGCAGACACGACATCGGTGCTTTTTCACATTTTACTTGAGAAAGGTACCGGTTAGCACAAAAATTTAATTCTTAGGTTAGTGCCTCGGTGAGCATTTTCCACTGCACTTGTTTGAAAGTAAGCCTTTTAATTCTATGAGAAAAACAGGAGACATTGGCAATCATTTGTGTGCAAACTGTATGGTGCTTTGTACATATACATCCTCACCCTGTCTGTAAAAAAAATTGAGTAGTACGTGACATAAAAAAACAACAAAAAAAAGTGACAACAAACTTGCTTGCAAAGTGCCATTTGTTTTAGATTTTTGCTTTTAAGAATTACTGCTGCAGTCACCTGCACGTGCAGTGGATGGAACTACAAACTACTTGATGTTCCAGTCATTTAGCTTAACTTCAACATGCTCGAACACCTTGTCTGTGTACATACATATTGTAACAAATGACAGACGATGAAGCAGAAGAAAACAAAATAAACTAAAGATTTAATGGGGGCGAACTTGTGCCAGAAACGAAGAGAAGAACATTCGTTGAGAAATCAGCGGCGAGCTTAGACGACGGCAGCAGCAAGCGACGGTACGTGGCTATCGCGAGATAGAACCAGTGAATGAATAAGCAATACGGCATTCGGCTCCTTGCCTACTATGCCCCTCATCTGGAATATTCGACCTAGAATGTTCGGGTAAGAGCTAAGGTGAGACTGACTAGACAAGGTCATTCTGGCCTCCTTGTCGTTTACGCTCGGGGTAAGAATGTACGCAAACCTTTTAGATGAACGGGGAAGCGTATCTTCTCGACCATGCACGAGGCATTACTCCCCCCCTTTAAAGGCCCATCGCCCCAATGCAACAGAAAACAAAACAGTAATGGTAAACTAAAAAGGTCCTCCGGAAACGAAAAGTTCTCAGTGTTACCGAGCGTAGAACGGTTTGAGTCAAACGACGTGAGCCACCTCGGGTCGTGGTCGGCGTCGTGATGATGTTTGCATTTCGTCGGGCACCACTTCGTAATTCAGCTCCCCGAGGCGACGAAGTACCTTGTGCGGTTCGAAGTATTAATTCAGCAGTGTTTCGCTGAGGCCGCAGCGACGAATGGGTGTCCACACCCACACCCTGCCTCCGGGCTGGAAGTGAACGTCCCGACGACGAAGGTTGAGCAAGGGGAACGTTGTGTGACAGAAGTGTTCGGTGTGATCAGCAAGGCACAAAGTTGGTGTAGTTGGTGCATGTTTATAAAAAGGCAAAACAGCACTAGAATAGACAATCACAAGGAAGAAAGTATGCGTAGTGCCTTGTGTCTGTGAGTTGTCTGTTCCTTGTGTCCTTCAGGTATTTTAGTGCTGTTTTACCTTTTCCTAAAGCATGATTATTCGGAAGAGCCATCGATGTCTCTGTGCTTTCACAAGATGCTTTCGGTTTTGCTTTGCCAACATATGCTCTGATCGAAAGTTGGAATCTCGTACATGGTCCTCAACGTTATGCATTTATATTGTACCCTTTTCATAGGCCTGGATCGATGGTTCTCTGTATACTCTTTACAGATGTGATACCGTACAAAGAGGACAAAGCACTCGACTGGGAAACGAGTCTGACAGAAACGAAACCGTAAGCAAATGTTGCAATCTCTAGGCGCATCAAAGTTTTAACACCTCTGGAAGATTGACATTAGTTGGAAGCATTAGCTGAATCTGAAATCGTTGTTGGTCTGGCAACATTAAAGTTCAGTTCAGGAAGCTACTCTTGCTCAATGGGTAAATGTGGAGCTTTGCAGTCATGAAGAGAAGGTTACAAAGGTAGTGGATAAACTCGAAGGAAGTGTGAAATTACATGCACAAGTAATATTTCTAGAGAAGTAAAAGAAAGAAATGGGGTTGGAAAAAGCGATTTGTAAATGCTAAAGGTTTGTATACTCGTTATCACCTCAAAGACCATAGTAAACAAAGTTTGTCTGCTCGTGAATATTACCAGCGTTTCTCTATTAATGTGGTGTATTAAGATACTTTTATGCTCATTTTTAAGATAGATATTTGTTATTTTCTCGATGTCTAAATATTTTAAATGCACAAAAAAAAAACAGTTTGTTTCTGTGACAACCGAATTTTCTAAGAACTACTTTCTTTGCAGTATATGAGCTATGCAAAAAAAAAAGATTGCTTTTTTTCTTGCAGTAGCAACAAGTATGGGTGGCATAAGTTACCAACCACCGACAAACATCTGAGATGTGGGCATAAGATATTCGATGTAGTGATACAGAATTGGGTGTTTATGCAAATGTTTTTTATTGATGGACAAACAGCATGTTAGTGTGGGTCAAGATTGTAGAAAGAATAAATATGTAGGACAAAGGCAACATAACCACATATTAAAAAAAAAAAGATATGTGGTTGTGTTTAAAGGATTTAGTTGTGTTGTCTTTGTCCTACACATTTATTATTTCTTCAATTTTTTTTCTTTTTTCCTGGCATTGGTTTTATGATTTTCTCTCTTATCAGCATACATTCAGTATTGGTGTTTTTAAATGGTCATCCTGCACAAAAAATGAGGAGCTATTTGATTAGATACGTTTCTAAGGAAAGCCAAAATATAATTTTGCAACCTTCTGATAGCGCAAGGAATTCCACAAAATCTCATTCCTTGTCAATTAAATTTTTTTAATAACCAATCACTTTTGTCTTAGCCATTTACTTTTATTTTTATTGGGCACAGGCTTTTTTCCTCAGCAATCACTTTTTTTGATTGCCCAACAAATGTTTGTCGGCAAATCACATTTTTGTAGACCATTTACATTTTTTGTCAGCCAATCACTTTTTTGCCAGCGAATCACATTTCTGTTGGACAGTTTCATTTCTTCTCATACTTCGTTTCGCCTGAAGTCCGAACACAGCCGACGCTACGAGCTGATATACCAACCAAACGGCGTCAAAAAGCTCACCCAGATGGTGTTCTGTTGTCCTGCATCATCGCTGAACCAATCCGATAAAGAAAAGACTCAGTGACTCGCACTCTTGATGCTGTTTGATTGGTTCCATCAACTCGTGGCACTGGCTGCGACCAAACTTAAGGTGGAACGAAGTATAGCACAGATATCTTCCCCAAGCGCATTAACGTTTGTAGGTCAGGCCTCGGTCAGATTACCGTGAGACACAGCTGCACCCACGCTTGTCCGGCGCCGACCCTTCCCCTCTCGTTTCCGCAGCCTCGCTCCGCAGCAAGCGGGCCGATGTCCACGGGCCCGTCCACCTCGATGGGGCACCTCGAGGGGCCCCTAGGACCCCCGAGGCGCCACAACCCAGGCAGCCGCTTCTCCCTGCGCCGCCTGTTCGGATCGTCCTCGGCCTTCCTCAACCGGCGGGCCTTCGGTCGCGGGAGCGCCAAGGGGCTGCCCGCGTCGGCGCTCGACGCGGAGCAGGCGCTGCGCATTCCGTCCGGAGCCACGGCCTCTGACGGGGCCCGCGCAGCGTCGCAGAGGCTCACTGCCCCTCCCAAGGTCGGTGGTTTCGTGCCTCGTTACCGGTTCTCGCTCAGATGGCAATCGGCTCGTTCGATTCACCCGCGCCGGCCTGCACTGGTGCAGGAAAGTGTAGTGCAATGTAGAAGAGCGCGTGACAAGATATTTCCGGTTGCGTCCGGAGATCGGCTGCTCTCGTTGATCGAACGCAGCAGTGTGTGAGAGGTGCGAGTAAATCGAACGCAGCGACCGACAAGTTTGTGCCATCGACGTCTGTGGTGGGTGTGGTGCCTGGAATTTGTCTCCGACCGGTCCGTTTGCCACGTCGAAAAAAGCGGTCCCTCAGTCTCCTCCCGACGAAGTCGTAAAGGTGTCGCGCCGTCGCCGGCTGTTGCAGTGTTGCAACAGTAATGGTGGATGTGGCGGGAGCCCGTTGTGCTGCAGGTCGCTCTTTAACTGGATGACATATCGAAGCCTCGGCAGCCAGGAATTAAGACGCCACGACGACGGTGACTCTCAGATTCTCTCGCATCTTTTTGCCGTAACTTCAAGGTGCAATAGCCAAGATCGCAACATCCGACGGCGTGACACTCTGGCTCTTGTGACATTATTTGTTGTCACTTCGGGGCCTCTTTCAGTGCATGGGCGGAGTAGGACGCCGAGCGCATTAGTCGGAGACATGTTTCCGGCTCCGCAGTCGTGAGGACTGCTTGCGTACGGAGGCCAAAGGTTGGACCGAATGTGGACGTGACGACACATGGAATTTGGTACATGTTCGACGAAAACCGCGAGACGTATGAGCGAGCGAGAGAGGTGGACCGCGTCGGAGTCTTGGACACAGCTGCGAGTCGCGCAGACCTAGACGTTGCATTCGGAGAGGTGCTGGTTCTTTCTTGGCTTTGCAGTTGGATGCCCAGTACTGGTTCGTTTAACCTGTTCGCGGAGAAATGCCGCCAAGGCGGCGGGTCCGAAGCCCTTCCCTCTATTTCTCGGTTTCGTCGAGCCATTGTAGCTTTTTGGGGCAGACAAGCAGTAATCGCGCCAAGTGCGAAGTTAGATGCTAACGACGACGCCTCGCGGCTTACGTCGTTGAAGGCGATTATCGGTTGAAGCGTGGTGGTGGTGCCTGAACGTCCATTAACCCTTTCATGGTCACATTGTTTCTCCAAAGACGCGCCCCCGGGGTCGGTTTTTTTTACTCGGTGCAATAGCAAAGAGTATACAATAGTTTATTGTCGCGTAAAAAAAAATCTAAGGCATAAAATAAATAGTACACACACTTCAAAACATCTGCGGCACACTTGCTGGAGGCTGAACAAAACAAAAAGGACTAAAACTTTCACGGACCCGCTTCCGAGACTGTCTAGCAGACGGTGGGGCTGTGTGTCAGGCTCTGGACTCTGAACCCAGCTGGTTTCCAGTTGTTCCTAGGAGGTCGAGCTGTCATCCGACTCACAAGTCCGAGAAGGGTTCAAAGTCTGAACTCAAAGAGCCATCGCTCCAATCTCCACTACACTACCCCGGGAGCAGCCAGCATGCGCGGCCATCTCGAAGTAATCACTTGCACAGAGCATCCAGTTTCGCAATTTCAAAAAGCTGCGCCAAAATAAACACCACCGGAGTTATATGGTCGTAGTTGCCTAAAAACCTACCAGATGGCAGGACGTCCCCGTGAACGCGCCCGTTCAAGTGACCATGAAAGGGTTAAAGGCTGGGTCAGACACTCGCGACTGCTTACGACTGCTTATGACCATGTGCTCTAAAACCTCTTGAAATTTTTTACGACAAGAGAAGACACTGGCGACACCTATAGGATAACCGTGGATCGCTCAGCATTTTTGTATATATATATATATATATATATATATATATATATTTTTTTTTAGCACATAACCTTTTTTATTTGGCTTGAAGAACTTGTGACAATGTTATAAACTACTGTTTCTCACAGATAGTTCATAGATTTGATCTCGCAAGTACCGCAAAACCTTGGCTCTAGTGAAATGCAGTGCCAGGGTGACCTCATAGATGGCGGCAGCGTTCCAGTGTGTTCTCTCGTTCCAAGAGATTGCGAGAGCTCGGCCCCAAGCAAATGCGAGCTTGCAAACGGGCTATAACTTCCCTCGCTTACGCGCAGGACTCTGAGGGTGCAAAGGGTGCCGAGGGTGCGGGGCGGCGTGGCAGCGCCCCACGGCAAGTCTCGTCGGACACGGAGTCCCTCTGGAGCTGCGAGGGGGGTGCGGTGGGGCGGCTGGAGTGCCCGCTCTGCCTGCTCGAACTCCCAGGGGACTGCTTTCCCCAGCTGAGTTCGTGCCCACACCGCGCCTGCTGCGACTGCCTCCGACAGTACCTGCGCATCGAAATCTCCGAGAGCAGGTGAGTTCTCTGAGTCGGTCGACTTAGCTCGCCGGAACTGCGAAATTGGCCGGTCGTTGCGGTCACCGTGCGCTGATGCCAGTGCGAGGAGCTGCTTGGGTGCCTGCCTTTGAGTATGCAGGGGTGGAATGGCTGTGCCATTTGTGCCATTTTGCGCCAGACACATTTGTCTGCACCGTCCTGTGACACGGCCAATACCTTGCGCCATTATGCACCAAGTTGCAAAACATGCGCCCAAAAAAATTGCATTTTGTCTTGGTTTTGGTTTCTATCGACTTGATTGGCAACAATGAGCACGTTTAGCTGGGTCAGCTTTACAATCCTTTACTCTGTTTGTTCTCCCTGTGTATCCCAAGTCGGAAGCGCGCAAAAAAATTCGGGGCTTGGATTCCAAGCACTACACCTCCTGCAACTGCATTGTTATACTTCAACCATAAGCGGTTGAGCAAGTCGGCCCAGGTGAGGTCGAGTTGTTAAGCGTCAGATTGCCTGAGGCTCTGCGGCCCGGGATCCGGACGTTAGCCAGTTGAAAATGAGCAAAAGATTCGTTATAGTGCTTAATCGCTCAAAGTTGAGACCGCATTCCCGCAAGATAAATCGTGATTTGATTGAACTGAAACGCGGTCCGATCCAAAACCTTGCCGGCCAGCAGTTCTTACGCGAGTGGTGGATCTGCTCGGCATACTTTAACCCTGCTCCTGCTTATTGCTTTGAATACGATAACTCCGTTAATCGTGGTCTGCTGCTTCGATATTGAGTTGCACAATAGGATAAACTCGACATTTGTTGCCCTATTCCTCCGTACAACTGCACGTCCGTTGTTTACGCATGCCACGAGGTTCGCACATATATTACTATATGTCCAGCACGTGTGGGTTGTGCGATAAGCACAACCCGCACGTGCTGGACATAGTGATATGTTTGCATTTTGAGCAGCTGAAAGCCACTCAGAAAATATCAAGGACACTATCTTCAGAAACATATGGTACTTGCTTTTTGGTTTTAAGGCTCACAAAGTTTCAAGTTTTCACATCTGTTACACTTATTCCATCTACCCAAGTCCCTAACCAGTCATGTTCATCTGTACTGCTAAGCACAATTGAAATTGCTCCCGTGCCTGTCTAAGACACAAGCTGAAGGGCAATGAAAACTGATCTAGGCTGCTCCTAGCCTGCTCCAGAATGTATTTTTTGGCTGCTCCCAACCTGCTCCAAAATAGCTGTTTCAGCTGCTCCCGTGGCTGCTCCCAAGCACATTTCATGAGTTCCACCCCTGAGTATGGATTTGATCTTTATGCTCCATATTATAGGCTGTTCTGACGTGACATCGATCCGCCATTTAGTGGTTAGAACTAGCGAGGGAGAAAATATTTTAATTATTTGAGGACGAAAAAAGAAAAAAATGTGAGGCGCGGTGAAATCTATAAGCTTATGTGCACTACCGGTTTGAAGGTGTCACGCGAATCTTCGGAATACTCGCCTTTGGCACGTGTGAGAAGGCTCATGACAACAGAATGGCGAATGAAGTTACGTCAGTGAAAACGCCCTATACATTGTTTTACATTAAGTACATACACAGTTGATGCTACGAGCTGATGGGACCGATCAAACGGTCTGTAAAGCGCAAGTCACTGGGCTTTCCTTTAAACTTGATGGTTCAGTGATGATAGAACACATACAGAAACAGGAACACCTTGTTGGTAAACCTTCGACACCGTTTGATTGTTCCCTATAGCTCGTAGCGTCTGCTGTATCCTGACTCTAACCGAAGTATAGAGCCGCTCCGGTCGCACCGACCGGCGGCTACAGAGTGCACGGATGTGCCCAAACGAAATGCGCTTCTGGCGTGCAGAGTGAACATCTCGTGTCCGGAGTGCACGGAGCCGATCCACCCCAACGACATTCGGAGCCTGCTTGATGATGAGGTGATGGTGGCCAAGTACGAGCGCTTCATGCTCCGGCGCATCCTGGTCACCGAGCCTGACGCCCGCTGGTGCCCGGCCCCTGACTGCGGGTGCGTACGCCCCCGTGAACTTGTTAGTGATTTTCTTGATGCCATGGGAGAACCTGTGGAAGTAGGGAAGAACGACAGGTCTAACAAGTTCAAAATCAACGTCGTCTTCTCTGCACCTAACAAGCTCGCCAACTTGTGCAAACAAGTCAACTTGCCGAATTCTCACCGAACAGTAAAGGCTGGTTCAGACATGTACAACGAGCGCGATGCGTCCGTTGCAACCGGAGCGACCGGAACGACCGCTCTGCGCCGCGCGTACACACACATGCAACCACTGCAACAAGAGCAGCGGATCGGCAGCACGGCGACCGCTTTTATGCCGCCATCAGCTGTTTCAGCAGTGCCTCTAAAAAGGGGACGCACTGCCACTCAATGCCGTAACAGAATATACAGACAGACATTTTTCTATAGCTTAAAGCTTTATTAATATATTTTTTTTCATGATAGGCTTGCAAGGTACAGTGGATGAAAAAAAGAAAATAAAAAGATAGAGTACGCCGTCTTGAGCGATCACGGCTCTAATACACGACTTTGCCGATAGTACAAATGTCGCCACACGCCTTTTCTACGATTATAAAAGACAATGTAATCTTATCAGCGATATAGCAACATAGAAATATGATTTGGTGATCAGATAGACGTTGCGAGCGTTCAGGATTGCTAACACTAATTACTTTTCTCCGGTGATGAAAACGCGTGAAAATTTGCATCCTTTATAGAGTATGCGCCAGTAATACCTTGAACTTGAACACACGCATGAAATGCGCCAAATAAGAAATCCGAGCGATGTTAGAGGACACAAATGCTTAGAAAGCACCACTGTAGTCGAAGTAAACAAACACGACGGCACGGGCGTTTCTGCTGTCTTGAGAGTGCCGCCACGACATCACTCCACGAGTAGGTGGATCTTCTCTTCTACTACGTGCTGGGTTATCATGGCGACAGACGACGAAAATTCACAGTCAAGGATAGCGCTTTTACGCGGAACGATGAGCTTTCACCACGCCGTCCACATCGACGATCAGCACCGACACCATGTTTGCAAATAGAAGGAGCCGGCCCGCGACCGGCATGCGACCGGCTCTTCGACGTGTGATTGGTCTGTCGTTGCGGTCGTTTCGGTTGTTTCTAACGCAGCGGGGAAAGTTGGGCTCGCTCCAACTCCTTGCGTCGTGAACGACACGTGCGTGCGTCCCTCCGTCGCTATGGCAACTGACGGTTGCAGACCCTTGCAACGGTCGTTTCGGTTGCTCTGGTCGCTACGGACGCATGTTTGTGAACGGGCCTTAAGCTGTACCAAACAACATCAGAACAGCTTCGTTGGGTGCGCCAAGGAAGTGGTGTACTCATTTCCACTTTCGTGCGGGAAAGTGTACATAGGGCAGACTGGACGATGCCTTAATGATACGCTCCGTGAATATTAAAACAACAGCATCAGAGCTAACACTGGCCATCTAGGCATACACTGCCGTGATTGTGGGTGCAACGTTCACCTGCCATCCTGTACAATTTTAGGTAGGAATAGTAACCAATTAACTAGAGAAATTATCTAAGCTGAACATATCGCCAGGAATTATAAAAACTGTATTAGTACACCATCTTTACACCTGATAGAAAAAGAGAAAAAAAATTTTAGGTGTCTAGGAGATCGGTGCGCATGATTCGGGAAATTCGGTAGTGCAAGAGGTAGAAGAAGACAAAGTATATATAAAAATGAGTTGTTAGTCAGCGCGGTTTGTTTGAATTTTGCTTTATTTTTCGTGTGTAAGGAGTGAGTGTTATTTGCTATAGTGCGCTGTAGTGTGTGTAAAAATGAGCCACCAACTCGCCCAAGCTGCTACGTTAACAAGTTTAGCAGGTTCGCGTCCCGCCAGATTTTCCCAAATTTAGTTTCCCACAAATTAATTATCACAAATTAATAATGATAATTGCTTTTTTTTTTTTGTAAGGAGGGAAATGCCCGCAGCTTTTCAGTGCACAGCCTGTATCTCTCTACTTCATTCGCAGGATTAGGATACTGTACATGACTTCATTTTGGTGGGCCCAACATTTTGGGAATTTCGTGAAGTTTGGGTTTTCTGAAAAATTTTGGGATTTGGAATGGTACGGTATGTATTCGTTACCACTGGTTGATATATTAGCAAGATTAATTTTTCGCGATAGTTCTCCAGTCACGAAATTTGCGAAAGTTAGGTCCTCGCGAAAACAATACTGTTCACGGTACTTTCCGGTACTTTTTTTTTCCTCCTTATTCTTTGTACTTTTATTAGTGCTGTCGTTCACCCATGGCCCTTTTCTGCTCCCAGGTACGTGGTGATAGCGAGCGGCTGTGCGAGCTGCCCCAAGCTGCACTGTGAGCGCCCAGGCTGCAGCACGTCCTTCTGCTACCACTGCAAACAGGAGTGGCACCCCAACCAGACGTGCGACGCCGCCAGGGCGCAACGAGCCGCCCGCCCAATCTCCTCCTCCGCCGCCTCCCTGGGCTTCCCCCACGACGGTACCTTGCAGAGTGCGTTGCTCAGCTTCCCGTCGCGGAGGCCGTGCGACGAGTGCCGAGGGGGGGAAGTAGTTCCGTCGCCCTCCGGCGGCGCTGCAGTGCCTGGAACGAGTCTCCGACGGGTGTGCCTACTGCGTCCTAAAAAGCGGTTCCTCCATTTGTCATTCGTTGCCACTTTGAGAACGCTTTCGGTCCATGGGCGGAATAGGACGATAAGAACGCGAGTGGAAGGCGCTTTCCAGGCACCTTAGTGGCACGTCCGCCGCTCCGGAACGGTCGGGCGTGGTGTTTGCCGTCGGTTGCCGGCGGGGCTTTGATGGGCACAAAGAAGCAGCAAAGTGTCGCACCGGTGGTGTGCCTTGTGTAAAAGGAAACTGAAGTTGAAAAGCAATTTAGTAACTTCAATGCATACTGACAAAATGAGTGCGTGTAGTCTTGCATCTGCCTTCTTTTCTCACTTTTTTCTTGTTCTCTGACTCGTTCATTTGCACGGGACCAGTGACCACGTATGATTTATTGCGCTCCACTCCCGTCTTTGCAGCCCTGGGATGGGATCGAGTGCAAATCAAATAGGGCGACTGTTCAATTCGTTCTGAATTATATTTGTGGAAGTAGTGGAATCAGTAGGGGCTACACTGTGCTGGGAGATATCTGTGTGTTGTGCAAGGAAAAAATGTCCTCTCTATTCCCAGCAATGTGGGCATTCTTGTCAAAAGTGTTTTTATTAAATATCTACTTTACAATTCAGTACTTGATGTCAGGTCATCTCCGGGAGCACGATTTATTAGTCGAAGGATTGGTGGGTTGTCAAAACGTTGTGCGATTGTAGACGTTGCAGTTGTTTCACTAGCCTCAAAGGAATCTCTGGGTACAGCCGCTGATATTCTGCCGAGAGCCTGCTACATGGTGGTCTTGTAAAGTGAAACCTGTCATAGCAAACCCTAGTTTTCCTTTACGAGTTCCTGTGGTTTAGCGTTTCTGGTGGCTCGGCCAAGACTGTCGTGTTGAGACGTGTCCTCTTCTGTGTGCCCCCCAGGGGACGACATCAAGCACTGCCCCTGCTGCAAGGTGTTCATCATCAAGATGGACGACGGCTCCTGCAACCACATGACGTGCCGCCTGTGTGGCACAGAGTTCTGCTGGCTCTGCATGAAGGAGATCTCGGACCTACACTACCTCAGGTGCCTTTCCACTTTCACACCTGAGTTGGGAGACTGTACATGCACTACTACTACATGTACTACTAGTGTTTGGCACTGCAGCTTGCTGCAGTGCCAAACACTAGTAGTACATTGCTTGCTTAGTTCTGCTGGGTTGTCACTTGCTTTGAGCCATTGTGATATTTGCATCTCTCACAAGATGTTTTGTGGGCTCTCTGTAGCTGAGATCTCAGTTGCACAGTTAGAGTCGGAAGGGGCGACCATGAAACAATCGTTTAATTCGGCGAACTCGTGCTCGTTATAAGGACTTCAGATTTCTAAAGCAGGAAACAAAACTTGGCTCTTTATTGTGGGCACTTTTGTTTGGAAAAAGGTGCAAGTACAGTAGGCTCGCAATAATTCAAGCTGATACTTTATACTTCCGGCTTATTCAAACAAATTAAAAAATTTGGGCTTGTTTGGCCATGGTTTTAATGTACGTTTAATTCAAATGGCGTTTTCGTATACAGTCGCCAACCGATTGATCGGACGTTTTCTCCAAACTGTCACTCCCCCTATAGTTAATGTATAGCTTTGACCGAAATTTTGGACTTCATAAAACTTGTAAGCTCGATATTTCGGACATCATTTGTGTGATTTCTTCAGTTTACGGCCACAAAACGGCCGCCGTGATAGCACCGCGAGCTTAGTCACTGCCATTTTGATTGTTTTGATTTTACCCTGTAGCCTCAATACCACATCCTACGCAATAACCACCTGTCCTGTCCACTTCTTCGTCTGTCCTCGTCCTAGCGCTATTTGTAATTTAGCAATAAACAAGCTGGGTTGAGGCTATTGACAGGTTTTTCGGTTCCGCTATAGCCAACATGGCTGCCGTCCGCCCATTCTTATGGCCCTTCCAGTTTTTCTCGTGGTCCGTGTTTTTCGAGTGCGACCACTAGAAGAGCGGCCGTCTACCGTTCTTCTGGTCTTTGAGTGCGAAGGTATTTTTGCCGATAGGCTTCGTATTGAAGCGAGCTCCAATCTCCAAATAGTGCCAAATGGCGGCAACTTCAACTTTGCTGTTTGGGCCAACAAAGGCGCCAATAAAGTGCAGCACTGTGATCAAACAGATCAACAAACAAGTAAAAAGTGAACTATATAAAGCAGAAGTTGCACGAGACCTTAAAATTGACATCGAGCAAGTGAAAAGTGGCAAATATGCTTGGAAATTTTATATTTTGACTGAGATGGATTTTTCCGACTGCTTGATTATTTGGACAATTTCAGGGTCTCCTCAGAGTTCGAAAGATCGGTCGGCGACTGTGTTTCATACTTTTTGTTCTCGCAGCCTTGTTGAGCGCGCTTCTTTCTGGGCGCTGGTGCACTGGGGAAAAGCAATACCTGCAGAGCCTGCTACCGCGGGTGTTGCTTCTCTGCGGTGCACTAGTGCTCGGTAAGTGCGCTCAACGGGGCTGAAGTGGGGGACTCGAACAATGAAGTGAGGCACCATGCGGCAGTTTTCATAGCAACTTGCATGAATGTTGTGACGTGGCTGCATGGCATAGACCCACACCAAAGCATCCGAGACAACTTTTTTGCGGGATGAACAAATTCAATTTTGTTTTGAGGTGTCGCATGTCAAGTCTGTATTTGGGCTTAAAAAGATTTGATAAATAAGGTATTTTTAGGTGGTGCAACGATCATAGTCAAACTTCATGCGTGGCTTTAGGGGAAAAAATGCAAAAAAGAAAAATGTCAGGTTGGCGCTGCTACTCACCACGTGGTACACAAACTTGAATGCTTCTTAAAGATGGACACCCAAAGCAGATCCAGCAGATCCGAGTGTGTGTAATATGATATGCGAGTAGCAGTGTCCCCCCCACAGTTTGTTCATTTCCCTCCCGCGCGGAGAAAAGAAAGAAGTTTTTATTTTCTCACTTTTTTTCTTGGAGACCTACCCTACACTCACAACCACCTAAAAACACTTCCGTGAAAAGTTCCATAACATTCAATTCTCTGGCTCATTAACGAAAAAAACATTTTATGCCCGAATCGCGCCCGAAAACATTACGTAGAATCTCACTCGAGGCTTCGGTAGCGTCTCCCGTCTGGGCTCTAGCGCGCCTTCCCAGAGCGGCAGCCTGAACCGTCCCCCGTCTCTCCCCAGTCCCTCTGGTTGCACCTTCTGGGGCAAGAAGCCCTGGAGCCGCAAAAAGAAGATCCTCTGGCAGCTGGGCATGCTTGTGGGGGCCCCCGTGGGGATCGCCCTCATCGCGGGCATCGCGGTGCCCGCCATCGTCATCGGCATCCCGGTTTGGGTAGGCCGCAAGGTGAGCCCCTCTTTTTTCTGGCTCGGACCGTGGCGCTCTCGAGGCCGGTTTACACCGACTGGGTCATTTGGTTCTTCATCCCCCGAAGTGATTAGCGTTTTGAAGCGTACGTCAAGTTTAACTCGAAGTATGACCGCTGTCCGCACACGCCACTCGGAGAAACTAGAGCTCTTGTTATTGTACAAATTAGCTTGCAATCCTTCCATTATAACCCGCCCGCTTTGCTTCGTAAATATTGTGTAGATGGAGAAAAATGTGTTCAAAGTGCTCAAACCTCTACCGTTTATTTAGAATCGGTGGACCGAAAATAATTTATAAAAAAATAACTATGCTGTGTAAACAAATGAAACTTTCTGTGAATACTTCCAGATCTTGATGGATGTAAATGTCATTTTTCAATGTCAACTTGTTTTGCAGAATTAATTTTTTTCTGGGCAGTGCGCCGGCAGATTAGATGAGCTAGTTATGCGGTGATCTCTCCTGAAAGACTGACTCCCGCAGAGTGACTCTAGCAGTGCTCTTCAGACTTTGTGTTGGAAGTTTGCCTTTTTTTTTTTGGTGCGAGTTACTGAGAGTCGGCTGCGTCTAAATTTATTGGTAGCTGCATGCTAAGTAATGCCTCTAAGTGGCTGTACAATGCCCAGCCCTTTTTCCCAATTCTTAAGATTTTTTCTTTGTGTTTACCAGCTGCACTCCAAGTACGACCTGCGTACCACGAGTCGTCTCAAGCGCAACTTCATTGTTTCCGGCGGAGTGGTGGCTTCTTTTCTGGTGTCCCCCATCATTGCCGGTATAGCCGTCGGTGAGTGGTTATTCACTTTAAGGCCCGACATTCTTCAAGGCCTGGCATTCTTCAAGGCCTGGCACTCTTTAAGCCCATTGTTCTCTGAAATCCAATGTTCTGCATTTTAAGCACTACGGAAGGATTCTGTTCAACTATGTCTGTGGAACGGGTCCACTTTTTTTATTCATCATGCACAACCTAAGATTTGTGAAGCATCTGTTGTTGGGACAAAGTATGTGCAAACTTGAAGCTAGGTAACCTTTTATTCAAACTCATTCGTGACGTCTTGTCTGTGAATGGTTATAGTGCAATCCCCGTTGCTGAAATGCAGGAAAGATGTGATCCTCTTTGCATCAAGTGTTGTTCAGATTGTGCTTGTATAAGGATGGGGGTTAGGACATGTTCTAGCTCTATGAACTCTTTGTAGGGAAGGAGTGACGAAAACAGGAAAAAGGACTACAGTCACGCATGATCGTAAAGGATTACTTCTTGCAGTTACGGTATAGTTGTAAATAGCTACTTTTAGAGCAGAGTAGTGGTGATTGCAATTGAGTTGCATTTCCAAAATAATAAACCCCTTTCAGAATTCAGTGCCACCCGGTGGCTCAAAAAGCAGTTCCACTTTGGTGTTCTAATGGTATTCATGAAACTATTTCATGGGGCACTGCTGCTTTCGCACGTCAATGCTAGATGAGGATTAGTTCTTAAATCGCCTCATAATTCTTTCTTGATATATTTCAGTTTCGTTGGGTTCACCATAAGAACTGACCAGTACGAAGCGGCGACCCATAAGCCCTTTGATGAACTTTTTGCCATCGAAAGGCTTTAGAGCCAAACTTGTGGCAGGAGATTGAATGGACCACACTCCAAAATAAGCACTTACGCCGCCGTCGTATCTAATAAGCGCATCTTGTAGTACCGACGTCTCGCCTTGCATAGTATCCTCCGTTCGGTAGCATCTTCAACTTCAAAGGTGCCACCTTTAGTTCGGCACAAATGCCTTACGCCGAGATGATGATGGTAATAAAAGTTGCCAGACTGGCTTTCGAAAAAGGTCCGTTTGCATCGATATGGGTGACAATAGCGACGGGGTTCACCGACTGCCCCACTTGCCCGCAGGCATTGGCGTGCCCATCCTCCTGGCTTACGTCTATGGAGTGGTCCCTGTGTCGCTGTGCCGCTCTGGCGGCTGCGGAGTGACCACCTCCGCCTCGGGAGTCCGCATCGAGTTTGACGAGGACGCCGACCTCGGCATGTCCAGCGGAACGGCGGCCGGTGAGGACGACCTTGCACATTCTGTCTCGACATTGCTTCTGCGCTACTACGCCAAATGTGATGCCACAAGGTACTCTCGGACTGCTGCACCTCGTAACGCCCTCTAGGGAGGCAAATGGAGCTCCCGGTTGGTTGCTTGGGTCGGTTGCATCGGCAGAGCCAGTTGAGTCGAAACGAGCATGTTGGGACAGCCCGACGGTTCGTAAATGTGATGCAGGTTTTATTTTATTTTTTTTTACTGGGCCACAAAGTGTGGTTTTTTTTTTTGCGTTTCTAGACACCTTGCTTTTCGGTGTCACCTTTGGAGACTGCTTTTGCGTACCTTTGGTTTGCGATTCCACCAGCAAGGGGTGTGGATCATAGAGTCGCCGCTTTCCCCGGGAGCAAGCGGGGACAAGACCCTTACGCCACGCCCTCCCGGCGTGTACGGTTCTCCGACTTATCTCTCGTCTCTTTTTTTTTTGCTAATTATGTCTTCCTTAGCATTTTTTCTCCCACCGGGTCAGTTAGCTTCTACATTTTATGATTTTCTCTACCTCTGTGGTGCACCCAAAAAGTTGGGTTTGGCAGAGAATAACCACATGACTCTTGTGCCAGAGAGCCCCTAATCAGTCTACTGGTCGCCTTTTTTGCTACGCTACCCGACCACCTGGCCCGGATGGGCAGTGCACACTCGGGGGCTCCGACCTTGCCCTGCTCTGCTAAGTGTGCCGTTCAACGACTAGTGCGCGCTGCACCCTGCCGGTTGTACTGGGCATTTCGAGTGCTGTTCGGGCGTGAAAAATATTCATATAAATAAGCCAGAGAAAGAGTGCCGTGGAACTTTTCAGGAAGGTGTTTTTAGGTGGGGAGTTGATCATACTCAAACGTTTTGAGGGTAGGTTTTGGTGAAAGAATGCGAGAAAAGAAAAACTTGTTTTTTCCCATGCGTGGGAGCAAAACAAAAGTGAACCATCGGGTTTACGCTGCTATTCGCACATAGCACCGCATGGTACAAAAACTTTAAAGCCTCTTGGAGACGAGCACCCTAGAGCGGATCCGGCAAATCCGAGCGTATATCTGAGTAGCGGCGTCAATCCGACGGCTTGTTTGTTTTCCTACCGCGCGTAGGAAAAAATGCGTTTTGAACAGAGAGTGTGCTTTATGGGTCGGTTTCTGCAAGAAAATAGTCGGGAACGTGCGTCGTAACGAGCGTCGTGAACGAGTGACACGCTAGGAGCGTTACGCTTGTTAAGGGTAAATGTGAAGTTTCTTTACGTAAAGTTCAAACCCCGCCGCGTTGGTGCGGTGGCAGTCGAATACTGGCACAGCAGGTTTGGGATGCAAATAATGAAATTTAAAAAATTAATAAAATAACTAAATAAACAAAAGCTAAAAAAATAAAACAAGTAAAATGAACAATAAAAATATATAAAAATTGGAAAAAAAAAGGTAATAAGATAGAAAAAGCTAGCAGAAACGACACTCTTAATCTGTATTTTTCTTTTCTCTCCTTTTTTTTTCTAGAAACCTAAACACTCACGAAATTCGAGTACCGTATTTACTCGAATCTAACGCGCCCTCGATTGTAATGTGCACCCATTTTTCGAGGTTTGAAAAAAAAAAAAAAAAAGCGTGATAACCTCGATTGTTACGCACACCAGATTTCGTAGGTTGGATACAGAAATGAAACTTTTTTCTCACTTGGAACAACGAAGGTTTATTCCAAGTGCTTCAATCTTGCCGTGAAATGAACGGCGCTGTCTCTCGCTGGCAAGGTCGTCATCACGACAACGGTCTGATGAAGCACCCGTGGGGCGGTATGCATCACTCGTCATCGCTGTCGGACGACTCATTATCGCTGTCAACGGCCCAAAGCATTTCATCTTTGGTGCCGTCCATAGCGTTAGAAATTCCGCACTTCTTGAAGGCCTTGATAACCACGGCAGACGGGATCGTGCACCACGCGCCTTTCGCTCATCCAGCGAAGTCCTGCAGCGACACAAGTTTCTGGAACACTAATCGCACGTGATGCGGCCCGACTTCCATCGCTCTCCGTGCACAATATTACTTTTCTTTTGAATCCAGCATCATGGTGAACGTGGCGTGTCTTTGCAGTGGGAACTTCCATGCTGATACGAACGCAAAAGACACACGAGCTGGCTACGCTCTAAGCGTCTCAGCGAGTAATGGAGCGGCCATTTTGAAATGTCGATGGCGATATGGTAGCGTAGTTTTGGGTCGCACTCGATTCTAGCACGTATGCGATTTTTGGACCTATTTCCCCGGAAAAAAGGTGCGCGTTAGATTCGAGTAAATACAGTAATGATCAGTGCACCAGCTAATAACGCCTTGGCAAAAAGTTTTATGGCACTGTTCACCGACTTATTTGGACAAATCTTTGTACGCCTGAAGAGTGTTTGAGAACACCCGTAGAAGAAACCTTCCCGGTCCTTACGTCATCTGTGCGTTGGCGTCCGGTGGCAGACGGAGCGAGCGTGGACACGACGGGAGGCGTGGGGATCCTGGGGGCCGGCGGGGCGACGGCAAGCATCGGGGAGGCGGCCTCCCTGGGCATGTCGGGCAGCCCCAGCCTCGGCTCGCACCTGGATACGGCTACGGCCAGCAACACGGCCATCGCCGGCCACAGCTTGACCGGGAGCATCACCTCGGCCAGCGCCTCTCACAGGTGACTCGGCAAGGCGTTTAATGTTGGCGTTGCTTTTTTTTGTTTTGATTTTTGTCAGGCATTATTTTGAGTTCCAACAGCTTGGAGTCCATTCTGCGGCATTCATGCAGAATGAATCGCCGCATGTCATATTATTTACACAATGTTTTGCAGCGTAGCGAGCTGCATTAATTTCGCTCGGGCCACCAAGCAGTAAGACATTGGTTGGTAGGAAGACGTAAAATCAACAATTCCAACGCGAAAAAGAGCACGGGGACTTTCACCGATGCCGACATCACATTTCAGTGGTCTGCTCATGCGAGATGTGGCATCTCTTGCCCATCGCACTTGCACGGTGCCGGTGGCGTGTCCGTGCCGCTAGGGGTAGTACTCCGGTTCATTTGTAAACATGAGTTGGTGTATATAGCCCAGTGGCCCATGTATGATGATACCTGATACCGGGTATTTCTACAAAGACTTTCAAACATCCCTAAAAATAAAATACTTGAGGAAGAAAAAAAAAAAAACTTTTCGGGCATTAGCTGACAACCATAGCAGATATTAGACATTGCAGAAAAAACAAGAGAAGCAACACTAATTAACAAAATAATTACCTAGAATTTATTAACTTTTTAATTAGCAAAACTAAACATATGGCATTTATTAGAAACTTGCTGACTGTCATCAAAAACCTGATTTAGAAGTTTTTGATGATGTTTAGCAAATTTTTAATTGAAACTACGGTATGTTTATTTTCACTAATAAAAAAGCTAATAGTTAAATTTTATTTATTATTTTGCTAATTCATGATTTATTTATTCTTTAAATTTTGTTTTAATCCCTAATGTTTATTGTGGCTGTCGGTTTGTGCCCAAAAAAAGTTGATTTTTCTCTCAGACATTCTGTTTTTAGGAATGTTTGAGAGTCTTCGCGGAATCGCCTTGTATAATGAACTGCTTATAACGATCAGTTCCTAGAAAATCAGATCTTTACATTGGTATTACGTAAAAATATACATACACGTAGCAACTGAATGCATTATACGAGGATCATAGGGGCCCCGCTTCTGCATCTGAAGTGTGGGTTTCCTACTTTTCTATGCAGATTTTTACCTATCCAATTGTTTATCTCTTTCTCTAAACACTGATAACTGATAGAGAATTCTTATTGGTAGATATTTTACAACTTGATACACTTTGAGTATTGTTGAGTAACTTGCTACATCTTGAAACTTGATGGTATTATTTCGGGCACTTTTTCGATTGCAGTGATTGGCTTCTCCAGTTTTAATAATATTATTACTATAAGTGGCTTGCTCTGTAATTGCTTTTCGAAAGTATGTGCAGCCTAGTGTTGTTCGGGCACTAGACCAATGGTCCGGAAGAAAATTGAGCAGCTTGAATCTAAAGGCTGGTTCACACACTGCCGACTGCTTACGACCGTGTGCCTTAAAACCACTTCTGATCTCTTCGGCGACACTGGCACTATCTATCAGGTTGAACAATGTTATAAGCAATCATTTCTTGTAGGTACATTTGATCTCAGAAATACCGCAAAACCTTCGCTCTAGTGAAGTGCAGTTCCAGGGCCACCTCATAGACAGATGGTGCCAGTGTGCCGTTGCTTTCTCGTTGTAAGAAATTACAAGAGTTCTGTTCTAAGCAAACACGAGTGTGTGAACGGTTCTTTAGCTTTTTAATTTGCAGGCAGCGCGCAAAAAAAATACAAAGAGCGTCGCTTTCGGGTGGTCCGCGGAAAGGCAAGACTCGCGCTCGTCTGGAACTCTGTTCGACGTTGCATGCAGGCTGGAGGTGCAGGCAGAGGTGTCGTCCAACAAGCGCTTCAGCCTGAGCAGCCACAGCGAGACCGCATCTGCCACGGTGAGCCTGAGCGAGCGCTCAGCGAACATGTCCGGCATGGCCGACGACGCCGCCAGCACCCGGGCCTTGGCAGGCTCCATCGTGGGCTACAGGTGAGTCTCCAGCGGTCTTGCACCTTTGCACCCGCTTCTCCTCTCGCCTCGCTTTGAGAGTGGGAACTGAGAAATCGAGGTTATTCGAGACTCCGGCGACCCTTGGGGGTCACCCCTATCGGGCAAATATGGCGATATAAAACGGGTCGTGCCATGCCGCGTGCCAGCTCGACGCACGACGCTCGAGTTTCGGCGGGCGAGCATTGGATTCGAAATGATTTGCCTCGGTTTTTACTCGCTATGTGTTGGCGTAAGCAAGCTTCCAGAGGCTTGACCCTCTCTGGGGAAGCGATGGAAGGACTGCGGTGCCGACGAATGTTGATGAACGCACAATGTCCGGTTCCCTCATTTCGTCGAGAATGGTGGGCATAGTGACAGCAGCGATTTCGGCACAAGTTTTTGTGAACCTTCATCAATATTCTACCTCTACTACGCATGTAACAGATTGCATGCTTGTTGGCTTTCCTCTTCTGTTACCTCATACCCCTGGAGCTTTCTGCTTGTTTGATGCTGCCCACAAGATAAAATCTTTCAGCTTGCATTCTGGCGAGCATCCAGGTTGTGGATCGTTGCTAAATGTGGCAGAGATTAATTGCACGTTGAAAGTATGGGTTGAACCCACCTGCCTCGAAAGTGGTGTTGTGGACAATTTTTAAGCCGCACCAGAAATATACTGCTTCCCTAGCGTCAGTCACATGCCGGCCTCGCAACTTCGTGCATCGTCGCCTCTTCTCTGGGTTTCTTCGAAAGCCCGCTTGCACAACACCTGCATCCTTCTCGAACGTGCCTCTGTCAAGGTCTCCTTCCTCACCTCCCTTCCCCACCTCCCACTTCATCACACCCTGCACCGGCCTCTCTTTCCTCAGTGGGAGCCAGATCACCCGTGACCCCGATTGCTCGTTTGCAGAGAGGGCACCCTGGCCGCGCCGGTGGAAGTGCACGTGGACCCACTGGAAGAACCGGACTACTGCCGCCACTGCCGCATCACTCACCGACCCTGCTGCCCCAACGCCTTGCCCTCCTCTCAACCGCACCACTGCGAGTGCCTTGACGGTGTGAGCGTCACCAAGGTGCAGATTGAGTGAGCGCGCGGCGGAGGCGCGAGTGTCACGCAAGTGCGACGATACGAGTCGAAAGGGACGAGTGCCATGCAAGCGCCATCCAGAATTGGTGCTGTCGTGCCGTCACTGGCGGAATGTGCGAGTCGGTGTGTCGTGCGGGCAAACGGTTTCTAATGTCTGAACTGCGTTGCCTCGTGTTGAAAGCGACGAAGGATCGCTTCGCTCAAGTCGTGCCCATTGCTGCGGTTTCGTCGTCGTCCGGCGGATTTGAGAGGCTTCCTCTGCCTCTTTCTCTATACATAAATATACATATAAAAATAGCGTTTTCAAGGTGCGCTCTAGAGACTGAAGCGGGACTGCCCCCGTGTCCGAGCGAGAATGTTATACTCGTTTCTACAGGTGGATGCTTATCCCTTGAAAGCGGAGCAAGAACTCTTGTCGTCTCGTACAATAGTGAGTGTGTCTGTGCTTCCAGCTTGGGGGAAGGGGGGGGGGGGGGGGGGGGGGTGAAGGGGGATTGAGCTGGCAACTTATTTATGTTGCCTCCCCCTTGTGGAGTGGACCTAGGCCTTTCTTCGCATGGCAGGAAGCACCACAGTTTAGTCATTTCGAAGCTGATCTTTTCGGTCATCTGTTCAATTGCTTTCGAGTTCCCGATTGGAGCGTTCCTTGTGCAAAGAAGGTGCTGGCTTACCGTAAGCTTTTCCGCTTGCGCGCAGCAATACATCTCGACACTCGCCGGCAGTTCGGCGTGACGTGCACTCGCACAGTCGCTTTCGGCAGTCGGTAAAACGTGTACATCGAAGAGCAATGTGAATACGAGTGTTGCCGTACTGTGGAATCGGAGAAGCTCCCGGGTTATTTTTTTTTCCCCCTGGCTCTCATTAGGCTCTTTGTTAGTGCCAACGCCAACAAGCCACGCATGTCGGTTTCCTGGTTTTCACACCTTTGCACCCCTTCTCAGTGTGAAGCAAAAAAGACTTTGTTCTGCCCTGTTTTTACCTTGTACAGCAACAAGACAACTGCCAGTTTGGATTCTTCGCTAAAAAAAAAATAAATACCTTTGTAATGTACAAAGTCAGTTGGACACTTTGGTGTGTATTTATAACGGATATATAAATAAAAGCCTCTTATTTCCATCAAAACGACGGGCGACTCTGTGGCATCTCTTTGGCGAGCAACAATCTACTGTTTTGACTCTGATGCTGTAGGCACTTTGAGAGATTCAAAGTGACACAGAATGTGTTCTTTTTGCTCTATCCCCTTTATGCAGGGCAGTGGCCTTCAGCGGTGTTTGGCGGAGACATTTGAGTCGATACTGCACGTGTGTGGAGTTACTGCAAATAAAAATTGCAAGAGTACACTTGAGACTGCTTACGTGTAGGAAGGCGAAAACATTATAGTCTCGTGGGAGCAATGTTTTCGAGTTATGTTTCTACATGTATTAATGTTTAGGGCGACGTCCTAGAGATCGACGCTAAGTATGGCGTCTAGGACGACGACGACCTCAAGGATGTTTAGGATGATTTTTAAGACGACCCTAAAGACGACGTCCAAGACGACATAGAGAACGGCGCCTAGAGGATGATGTCTAAAACGACTTCTAGGGCGTCGAGAACGATGCCTGGAGGACACTTGAGGAGGCTGTGGCGTATTTGCATGGGCGGCCCCTCTTGCCTGCAGAGGTCGCCGTAAATGGAGACATGGTCGCCTCACAATCCATTGCACAAAGCGCACGAGAACAGAGGAAGTTCAAAGCACACCTTTTGCACATGGTGCTCTGGCATTGACATCACACTGGTGACATATGACGACGCTTGACGAGATATTTTTATGGCCATCTTTCGGGCACAACGATGCCGCCGCTTCGTTTTTTATGTAATGTGACAAGGGAGGTCATCTTAGAGGCCTAGGACAACTTCTAGGACAACCGCAAGGACGATGCCAACGTAATGGGACAAGTAGAGCCACCCATTGAGCGGCGCGTGCCGCTCAATCATGTTTTTATCTGCTTTTTTGGCGCTTTTTCACTCCATCGGACAGGTAAGGCTTTTGCCGTGAAATGTGCATCCTTGTGGGATGTGTCACTGAACACAAATCGAGCATAATGGGTTTGTATGGATGAATGGTATTGGATGTATCCTTTCTAGCGGATGGTAGCTTGGCTCACCAGATATGTCGCCTACTCTGGCCTATTGTGGACATGTGCAAGCTAAAACTGTGTGCACCACAGACTGAACGTATGGTGCCCTGATCTGCGAAAAAGCTAAACACATTAAATAAGTTTTTTCTTTAATGCGTCGGCATTTTGGTGCATGCAGCAGTTTTTCGTTTGGATTGGACTGAACTAGTTTTGTGAGGGTGCGGCTTGGTTCCCTCCGTGCTGTTTCGCTGCATTCGTTCACTTGTTACGTCCACTTTTCCTCTTATATAAGAGGGAAATTATCTCCTCTCCCACTTACAAGGATGCGCCGCTGTTGGCGTGCACTCCTCTTACGATGGCACTGGGCTGCGAGGAGGTAATGGTGCAGCAATGATGCTGTTTGCACGAAACTGCTGATGCCTGGGAAGGAAGACTGGCTTTTTGGAAACAACAGCGCGCAGACCATAGGCAGCATTTGAAAAAAAGCTGCGGTGGCTGCATCCAAACCATGGACGCCCGGGACCACAGACTGGCTCTCTGAAGACGACAGTATGCAGACCATCCAAGCGAGAAAAAAAAACTGCAAGGTTAGAATTCCCATCCTTCACCGAATCGGAACCCCTGCGCTAATGTCGACATTGTTCGGCAAGAATCAGCGTAACAACAACGACGATTTTGACTTTCTTTTTTTTTTTTTTTATGGAATCTCACATACAAATATTGAGTTTTACAGCAGCTGGATCATGCATCCGCTCCTTTATAAACACCGCATGTAAAAGCTTGAAAAGTTGCATCCGAGACTGAACTTTACATGAAAGGCAAATGTAGAAATTGGAGACTTCAGAATATTTGGATATTTCGGGGGCTTTAGACGCTTTCAGAGTTCTACTCTGACGAGGAGAAAGAAAACATTGGGACACCTTCAAGGTAGCAGCTGTGAAATCTAATGTGGGGCAAGATTATTTTGATATAGCATTACCTGGTATCTGAACTGCCACCTACCATATCTTCTTGGGTGGCTTCAGCAAGTACTATCAGTGGGAAAGTATCTAGCCTTGTATATTGTATAATGGAAAGAATGGCGGTCTACACATCAAGCTGGCAAGGACACTGCAGCGTAAAGAACGTAAATACAAGCATGTCACAATTGTTGGTCATTTGTTTAGACAATTTATATTGTCACGTAAGAATGAGTGTACGGCAGTTCGTTAGGGTTGTGAGAACATTTATTTGCGAAGGGTCTGGGAGGCCTAAACGTGCCCTCACTTCTTGCGTCTCTTGGACCGTTCTCCGTGTTTTTTCTTGACGTGGAAGTTGAGGCGAGCCTTGCGCTGCCTCGCCTTGAGGATCTCGTCCTTGGTTTTGAGCTCCCTCTTGAACTGCTTCCTGGGTCCCTTTTGTTTGGCTCCGCCGCGATGCTTCTTTCCCAGCCGATCTGCACGCAGGGGTGGTAGGTTGTCCACGTTAATTTGAGGAGGCGATGGCGCTATGCTTTTGTCACAATTGTTCGTCTTCTCGAGTTTTTGCTGAGAGAGAACATTGGTTGTGAGAGCAATGTCGAACAGAAAATGCTTGATTTGTCATGATCGGTATACACAGAATGTGTTTTTGTGGCATTCTTCGAGGTTTGCGGTGGTTTGTTTGTTTGGTGTTGTCCAGAGAAAAGGGGGATAGGTGTGGGCCTCCTCTTGGGGGCAAGTCGCTACCCGGCTAGGGGATGGGGCAACCGAGGGCGGTTAAGAGATAGGGTGGAAGCTCGGAGGGGGGTTTGAATTGTTGCTATGGTGGAAAGTTCTAGGTAAGAGCCCTCAAATGGGGGGGACACAGTTGATTCAAGTTTGTGGTGGACATTGCCTTGGGGAATGCTACGTAAAAATAAACAGCGACATCGAGTGGCTGGCAGTTCTGGATAAGCTGACAACCTTAAGGCCTTTTTAATCTCACCTGTCACGGCTCCCAGCCAAAAAAGATTGGCTGGTAGTCTAGTCTTATCATCATTGCTGTTCGTTGGTTGGTGTGCAAGTGTGCATGTCTGTAGCTAATTTCTTTAATCTTGTTCCCAAAACTACAGTGTCTATATTGATTGTTCCACATAAAACCGGCAACTAAGAAACAAACAAACAAGAAAAAAACTAATAGGTGCCGTGGTAGAATTTTGACCTCACAATCAAAGTCGTGGGTGTAATTCCCGTTGGGATGCATTGATTATTTTTTTAATCCTTCTTGTTTTACCTTTTTTTTTTTTTTTTTTTTTTTTTTTTTTTTTTACAGATTCCTTGCTGAAGTATGTGTTATTTTCTAAACGGTTTCCACGGTGTTCCCTTGAAATCTCCTCAGGGATCCCAGCTCTCAAGTGTTAGAAGCAGGGTGTTGGAACGAAATGTTTTTCGTTCCGTTTTCATTTTCGTTCCATACAAAAAAGTTCCGTTCCGTTTCCGCTCCGGAACGAAAAAAATAATGCTCCGTAACGGTTCGTAACGGTTTCTTTCTATAAAAAAAAAAAAAAAATCGCAACAAAAATTAAAAGGAACGTAACGTTTATTTTTACACAAAAACAGATAATTCAGGCGCTCCAGAGGAATCCGCGGAAACGACATTGCTTCTGAGATCATGTTCATTGCCTTGAGACTGAGATCATGATCAAGGCACCGAGCATGATCTCAGAAGCAGCCCGTCATCAAGTGTGCTAGGTGAAAGGCAGGACCTCTGGTCCGATAAAATAAATTTCAGCGCCGAAAAGGCCCTGAAGGCCCATAGGGATGAAGAAGTACACTTTTGCAACAGTCTCAGACTGCCGTATCCGTAGAAAAACAAGATGGACTTCTACAACGCCGGGTCACAAACTTCCCGCGCTTGCCGTGATCTGTTGTCTGTCTGTGTCGTCCGAAGAAAGCATGGAGGGAGAGGGCGCAAGAGCCAAGGAGAGCATTGCGAGCGTGTGGAGGCGTCGCGTCACCGCGCTCTCATGGGTGGGAAGCAATGGCGCCTTGCGTCATGTTTTTTGTTTCTCGTTGTATTTTTTGTCTTTGTTTTTGCTATGCTTGTTCGCCCGAAGTTTAGACGCGGGGGTGATGGCTTGCTTGTCTTCTCTTTAATTATGGTACAAACCAACGGCAGTCTCTTCGCTGCGTGAAACGAATTACTGAAATACCTGATATTTTCCCTTGAACCGAAAACCGATAAGAAAATTTTTCGGTTTCACTCCGGAACAAAATAATAAATAACGTTTCGATTACGTTTCCGTTCCTCCAAAAAATATCGTTTTTTTCGTTTTTCGTTTTTGGTTTCCGTTTTGTTCCGATACCCTGGTTAGAAGCTGCTGCACACATCTTTATGTTTTTAGAAGGGGTCTTAATGGGTGACACTTTCCTGAAGGCTACTTCTGGACCGGCCTATACTTTGTTTTATTTATTTGTTAATACTGCAATCCCTTGATCTGACTTTCGCAGGAGGGTACAGTGGTAAAGAAAATACAACGAACTGGCAAAAAGGACAAAAATGAAATCAAATTGTAGTACACATGAACAAATACGGTACAAAAAGAAGCCACTTCGAATTAGGTGCAAATAATGACAACGATGGCTGCATAACAACTCTCTCAGTGAGGTCATTCCACTTGGTTATTGTTTGTGGAAAAAAGAATACTTTAGGCAATTATTACGCTATTGAAAAGGAGTTATTGTTAGAGCATGCCTTTGTCAAGTAGCATGTCCTGATGAGAAATTGATTAATTTGGACCGGTCTAACCTATGATGCCCATTAAGTAACTGGTACGAAAATTTTAGTTTAGAATGTTGATTTCTTTCAAACAAGGAAACTAAAATAGCTCTGGTTAAAAAAGTTTGGTTATGGAGTCCCGTCCAAAGTTATTATAAATGAAGCGAGCGGCGTTTTTCTGTACTTAATGAACTTTATTAATGTTAATCTTAGTGAAAGGATCCCGAATGATTGCAGCATAATCTAATGTTGGTAGGACTAGTTTTATATGTGAGAAGAGGACTCAAGAAAGGGGGAGAAAGGTCTAACATTCTTAGAAAGAATAACTTCAGCAGAGCATCAGATGCTACGTAATGGATTTGCTTTGTCCAAGTAAGGCTATTAGTAATCCATAATTCAAGGTATTTATATTGTGCGACCTGATAAGGAGTTATTATTAAGGTTGTAAACAAACTTTAAAGGATGTTTTTTGTAAGTAATTCTCATTTTTTTAAACTTAAAGCGAAACTCTGCTTCATTTTTGCTTGTCAGAAAACAGTGCAGCTCTCTTTTTAGTATCTAGAGACCCCGTGACAAATATCAGAATGTAATACCACCTAAAGGATCATTAAGCCGGCCAACAAAGACTAAAATTTTTCGAAGTCACCAAAATCTGCTAATTTAGCGGGCAACGTGCGGCGTAGCCAATGCTGTATTTCCGTTGTGGCTGATGTCTGTGGCACGTGCAGTTTTTTTCTTGGCATTTTCTTTTCCAGGGAGAGATTACCAGACGGCGCTACTAGCGCGCCACGTCTGAGCGAGAGAAGAGGCAAAAGAAAGACGAAAAAGAACGAGTGAGAACAAGAATCACAAGAGGGAGAGGGTGGTACGGGATGTTGCACGCTATGTTTCGCCGACTAGCTGCCTGGGTTCCCACCTACGTAGCCTGCTTCGTCGCCACTTGCGTGCGACATCCCGTACCACCCTTTCCCTCTTCTGGTTTTTCTCGTTTGCCACCACTTCGCCTGTCTTCCCACCCGCTCCTTGCCCTTCCCCGTATATCCGCATCATTTCTGGGTTACCGCAGGTAGATCACGTGACCCCTTGTATCCCACATGGGTGCATATGCAATTGGTGACAAGGGTAAAAAGTTGCCCGGCTGTGCCGAGGTTTCAGTTTCGGTTTGCGATTATGGTAAATAACAAGATCGCACGAAAAATGTTTTGGTTCTCATGAGACAAACAATCTGGGGTTGTTTTGGAGTGCTTTTCACGTTTATAACACCCACTATCTCAATTTCCGAAATTGAGTAGAGTTGCCCTTTAATGGTCATTTGCCAATCTGTGTACTATGTCGCAATATTTTGAAATGTTCTGTTTATCAAAAGTTGATCCGACGCACTACCTACTTTTGAGTAAATTATACAGTCATCATCGTATAATTTGATTTTGACAAGGACCTCTTGTACTATGTCATTAATAAACAGCAAAAAAGGAGACGGCCCAGCACAAACCCCTGGGGAACACCAGAGTTAACAGAAAGTAGCCAGAAGAATGTCACCAAAAACGATGTACTCTTGATGGTTTGAGAGAAGCTGAAACCCATTTCACTAACTGTGTTTCTACATATTTTCTGTAATTTGTATAGTCGTTTCTTACAAGAAACTTTATTGAATGCTTTCGAGAAGTCCATGAAAATAGCATCAATTTGTTTTCTGTTGTTAATTGGTGAGGGAAACTCGTGAACTGTCTCAATTAGTTGAGTACATGTAAAGAAACTTTTTCTAAAGCCATGATGATGCTTAGACAAAACATTATGTTTATCCAGGAATGCTGATAAATGACTACGGTATATATTGTATGTTTAAGTTTACATGCAGTTGAAGTTAATAAAATTGGACAGTAGTTTTCTATGCATTATGGGCTTCCATTCTTATGAAGTGGTTTCACCCTAGCAATTCTCGTTGTCTAAAACCTGGCCCTCGTACAGTGATTTTAAAAGCAAACATATTTTGAGACCCATTCAGCACACCTCAATAAAAATGCATTCAGAATATTGTCGGTTTAACATAAAGTTTCAAAAAGATATTCAATACACCGTGTTCCGTAATTACAATATCAGGCATAGGAGGGTAGTGTGCATCTAAACTTGGCAACGCATCATTGTCTTGCGTAAAAACTGATTTAAAGTGTTTATTAATTGCGTCTGAGCTTGTTTGCTTCGTAGGTTAGATCGCCGTACACCTCGAAAGCATCACACACCATAGAATGTGGAGATACCATATGCCAAAATGTTTCTGGTGAAGTAGATATGAAGTTTGGCAAGAACCCACCAAAATGATCAGTGTTAACTTGGATTTTAAGTTCTAAAGAAAGAATCGAGACTCTTTCATTCAGAATTAAGGACTCATCACTTCTTTTAAGTTTCTTTTTTAATTGCTTCAATTGTCTTTCTGGCTGTAGCAACTTCCTAAAAATCCAAGGTTTTCTCTTTTTTTTTTTTTTTTTACAATTAGTGGCACAAACGTTTGATACATTAATTTACAATACTTTTAAACAAATTCCAAAGGGAGTTCACTTCATTTCACCTTGAGTCCGGATGCAGCCACTGCTGCAAGCTTGTGGGACCCACCAATCAAATGGTGTCAAAAGCACAAGTCACCGGACCTTTCATGTACACGACTGATTCAGCGATGGTGAACACGTACAGAAACATGACAAACACCGTGCTGTTGCACTTTTGACGCCGTTTGATTTGTCCCACCGGCTTGTAGAGAGAGGTGAAACGAAGTATAGTACAGCAAAGGTCCAATTAGCAACAGGTTCTCACGCAAAAGTATGACTAAAGCCCTCCTAAGCAGGAAGGCTGTGGCGCTGGGTTTTCTATGTCTTTCACAACCAGCCAGATTCGGGTGTAGATTGGACACAAGTGCTGCATCAGAATGTTCAACCAATGAGAACGCCAGTCCCAGCCGATCGCCGATGTAGCGCTCCTCTGTCCAATCTCTGCCCTGGTCTCCGGTAGGCGATGCCGAAAATGCAGCATTACGCATTACTGTTGAGGAGGCGTTCAGGACACTGGGAAAGGCTTTTCGGCCAGCCACTAGATGATTTTGCAGGTCGGCCCTAAACAAGGCACTTACAGATAAAAGGATTGTTTCCCTGTTGGTGTACTGATGCGCAAGCTTTTCTTTATCCTTTCTAGTCAGGCATGCCGAAATTGGAGGGTTATTTTTATGTGATGATAACTGCATACCTTTTGGGCGTACACATTAGAAACAGAATGTCGTCTTGAAATGTCCGGTACCAAACAAATGTCGACACAAAACTACGCATAACCCTGGACAGCTACCGCCATCTATGAGCGATGGCGGCAACCAGACAGCCAGTCAGGTTGCCACCGTTGCTCATAGATGGCGGCAACTTTTCCAGCTACCATAGAAAAATGGATAGTTGGGCGAGTTAGTGGGAATTTGTCGTAGGAAACAGCACGCAAAACAGACGAGGACGAAGAAGAAACACACTGGACGGGCGTACAGCTTTGCCGGTCTTCCTCCTTCACCAGAGTGGAAAGGATGAAAGTTTTTTTTTTCTCCCCCTTTTTTTTTTAGACAGCACATTTTGCACTTCCTTGCATAAAATCTCGGCTAAATGTTGCCAGGCTAGTTTTAGACAAACTGAAATGAAAATACGGTTCTTGGAACACGTTGCAACCTAAATATATTCTCGACTGTAGTCCCAAGCACAGTCATCCTGTAATGCGAGATTGACGACTTTTAGAGTTCTGTAACGTCCTAACGACTCGCGACGCAGTCCCTGTAACATGCTTGCGGCCATTTCTTCCCGTCTCTCCCAAAAGGGTCACTCTAAAGTGGAACACCCTAATGCCCAAGAACCACCTGCTCCGACCGCACGGGTTCCCGGTGGGACCCAACGCTCCGACGGAACTGCGCGGGATAATCCTGCAGGGAGCCGTGGAGTGGCCCCAGTACCTGCGTCTCGAACCCTGCCAGCCCGATTTCTCTGGCGTACCCACGTGAACTGGGAATCCTGTTGAGTCTACCAAAAAATCTATGTGGTTGTCTCATTTTACCGCAAACATAAACTATGCATTGCCGAATGCTCATTCTCCGCCCAAATGTAGCGCCGGCAGTCCAAACTGGATGCCAAGGCTTCGGAACTGACCGTTATCTTATTCAAAAGTTCTAAGCGATTTTCTAAAGTTGCAAATGGGAAAATGGCGACCGACGGAGACTTTGAATACGTGGAGCTGAGTGCCGCCAGTTATTGGGAGAGGGCTCCATTTTCGCGTTTAAATTTTCAGAAGATCGCTTATAACTTTTGGATAAAATAAAGGTTCTGAAACATGGGCACCGATTCTGGACTGGTAGTGCTATATCTGGACAAAGATTGAGCGTTTGGCAATTTGTCCTCTAGTTCTGCGGTGAAATGCAGCGGAGAAGCTGTACTTTTGTTGAACAAATTGCTTTGTCTAGATGCGAGGCTGGTGGAAACCGTTTCGCTTTGAGACACGATTATATGTTTAGACCGATTCACAAAGTTCAATGGAAGCCTCTCGTTGCCTGATCAGTTGCGGGAGATATTGTTTGTTTCTTTCGTGGCTTTAAATGAATATTATTGGGTGTTTTGTTTGTTCATAGATCTTGTGAGTGTTAGTCTTAAAAAGAATGTGCAGCAAATTATGAGATTTCCTAAAAGTCTGGGGCGGCTACGGAAGGTATTTAGAGGTCTAGGCATTCAATAAACACAAAAAAGAAAATACAGTGGCTAGGGTTCATTATCTGCCCTAAAACGTGTGAACAATTTTTTAAATGTTGCCTCCTCGTCTCACTCATTTTTTAACTACTCTTTAATTCCTGATTTGTTTGTGTCGGCCAATGTTAATCTTTTGCTGGAGCCAGTGGCGATCTTGGCAGGGGGGGGGGGGGGGGGGGGGGTGTTGCCACCCTGAACTCGCACCTCTTGGCTCGTTTTTTTTCAATGCGAACGCATTAACTGTTTCATGAAGCCAACCAGCATTATCAGCTTTTGAAGTCGCGCCAAATGGCACCTAAAGTCCCCCATTGGCTGGGCTGCGGCGTATTTTCAAGGAACGCCATTCCACAGAGAAGCCCTCTCCATGATGGCGCAGCGGTCCGTCCACCGGTAAAAGGGAGCGTCCTGTTGCAGAGCCAGCAGAGCCCGCCCGGGCAGACTCCGGAGGGGCTGCACGGCCAAACTCAGCGCGGCCGCAGCTTGTAGGAATACGCTACGTATACGAATATTTTCGCATTCTGTCACTTTCTGACAGCGCGCGGCCACTCTCAAGATCCACGCTTTGAGAATGGGCTTCCTTTTGTGCTCGCCGTCGTGTCTTTTCTACTCGCTTCCATCCAACGCGTACGAGATAACCGGGACTGGTGCAAGGTGCCGCTTTGTTAGCCGTTGTGCCGCCCGTCTGCCTCAGCCATCATGACGAGTGATGAAGCTCGCATACTGCAGATAACATTTCGAAGGCACCTTGTGCCAGTACCTGTTATCTGTGGGCGTCGTACGAAAGCGAGCGAAAAAAACATGACTGCGAACATGAAAGGAAGCGCACGCGCAAAGCCAGAGCCTTGAGAGCGGCAACGCACCGTCAAAAGGCGCAGCCAGTCTTTTCGGCTAGCGCTCTTGTGCCCCGCAAACTTTTCCTGCCGACTATACACCAGCCACACCTCGCAGATTATTTCAAAGTTGTGTCATCTCTCTTTCGAGGAGAATGTGAGCTGTTGCTTTAAGGTATTATTGATTTAGGTAGCACCCCCCTCGCTGAAATTAATTTCTGTGATTCAACCACTAAATCCAATGTCTGGGGCCGCAACTGGCTGGAGCAGTAATGTGACAGCATGAATGAGCCACATGTTCAATCTCCACGCACTTCTTTGTAAAGGCGACTCCATATGGTCGCTGGGTAAGGATGACAGTTACAATGTCAGCCAATCACAACTGTCTCTGCCTACATCTTAAAATCAGCCGCTTAGCATTTCCATCAAAGGCACGCGCATAAGAGCATAGCTATAGACAATGCTTTGTTTACGAACAAAGCCCTTTCTAAAGCCACATGCTTGTGCCTCTGCACCTTACAACACTGGTTGGAAGTTGTGCAGTGGATTATAGCTCGGCAGTGCTTATCGGCTCGGCAGTAGTACAACCAGCAGTTCTTGTTCGGCCACTCACCACAGGCAGCCACCTTCTGCTTCCCAAGGCCCCCACTGTCTTCGTCCTCGTCGTCTCTCGCGTCCACCTGTGATTTCCGCTTCCACTGTTTGTAGCTGTACCGGCGGCTGAGGAAGTTGGCTGCAAGACTCAATCAGCGTGCTGTTCGTATTGAACCCATTTTGCACAGGCACTCATCTTTGCCCTAGCTAATTGACAACGCTGTTCTTGGGAAACATTTGTCCCCGATATAAAGTGTTCAATGTAGGAAAGGCAGGCTGTTTTAGTTCTGCAAACGTTAAAGGTTGACTACAAATATTGTTATCATAGTTACTGGACATTATAACAGAAGTTTCACATTAAACGTGCAACAAGTAATCTTTCTTGCTCCTGGGTCGGAGCAAGGTAAAAATGGGGTCCAAGGAAAAGGATACACGTCCGACTTGTAGGAAGCAGGAATCCATGCCCCGCTCTCGGTGCGAATCTTCTTTTTCTTGGGGTCGTCATTTCCCTCTCGCACAAACCTCTTCTTCTTGCGATCCCTATGCGCGATTTAAGAGTGCAGTTGGATAAAAAGAAAACTTGGCAGCGTTCTCGAGCGGGAAGTACAGCTTGCATCTACTCACCACTTCATGGTGCTTTTTTGTTTCTGTAGCATTTTTTCATCATCTGCAGTCAAATCTAGCACAGCTTGAGAAGCCTGCTGCTCAAACGTCTTCTCGAGTTCTAGCCTGAAAGGTAAAGTGTAGATCAAGTGTGTGCCAGCAAAATTTAATTCCCCATGTCAATTTGAACCGGCCTAAAAGCTACACAAGACTACTTCCAGTAGCGACTATTGTTGGCGGTAAACCTTATTCATTTTGTTGGCTTCTTTTTAATGCCCTTATCTCAATATTATGCTCCCTTTTCTCCGACAGTTAGGAAAATGGGACGACGCCAAGTTGTGAAAACATTGACACTTTTTATTCGATCTGCAGCCAGGAAGACGAAGCAAAAGAGGGTGTCATGACGAACCCACAACTTTTATTCCCGAGCGTAAAGAGCCAAAATCCCCGTGTCCGATAGCATGCGCTTATCTACATCTTGGTTGATGCACATGGGCGCCATCTCTTGGGCATCTAGAAAACTATATGAGGGTGGCGACCCCTACAGCTCCTTTCAGGAAATTAGAATTTTGATGATTTGCATTTAATTACCAGCCTTTACTGATTTGCCTTGTATTCATGTTCACAAACAAGTTCTTGTCATCAATACTAGGCTGCACCTGCTATAATGTTTTGGCACTGCCGGGTTGTTTTGGTAAATAAATAAATAAACTGCCAGCATTTGCACTCCTTTCTGTGATGAGTAAAAAATAGTTAACTTAAGGCCCGCTTCAGACAGAGCAATTTCACCCAGCAACTTGACGTCGCAACACGACCGCCCGAGTTCACACGCAGCAACCGAATTGCTCCGACTTGTTATCATCATCATTAAAATTTATTTTTCTTTCACTATTCAGATGCCCAGCTACGTGCTAAAAACGTGTTCTTATATCTTTGAACGGCGTTGAGAATACTAATTCATTTTTCTGAAACTGTTTATTTCCAAAAACGATCCATTTCAAACCAGGACTAAGTCTTTAGCTGTCATCACCACCACCACGGGGGTGTCACGTGAAAATACAGTCTAAGCTCGTTACAACAGACCTGGTTACAACAGACATTTGGATATAACATACCGACCTGTGAAGTTTCGTTGGTTTTCCTCTATGTACTACTGACTCAACTTTATATCTGCATACAACATACTCCTTTTACAACAGACCAAAATCTTGGGTCAAAATTAAGGTCTGTTATAACGAGCTTAGACTGTATTGCGTCTCTGATTGGCTGCGGCCGCTTCAACCGTCTTCGAATTGCTTCGAGTTGCCCACTTGTTCGAGCCGGACCCGATCTCAGCAATTCGCGTCGATCTAGGGAAAGCTAGGGAACAACCTGCCAGCAACCTCAAAATTGCTGGAAAAGTTGCCCCGTCTAAAGCGGGTTTAAGGGGTGTAACGCAACATGTCTCGCTTTTCTCGTAGACAGCCCGGCAATTGAGGACGGTTGAACAGGGGACAAACTTACCCCTTTTCAGAGTGGAAGTCCGAGGAGAAGTGGGGGATGTAAAACTCCTCATCTTTGAAAGAGTCTGGCTTTGCCTTTTTCTTTTTCTCCGGCGAAGCTTCGGAACCAGAGTTTTCGCCCCGCTTTTTCCGCTTTTGGCTCTTGCGACTGCCGATGACCGTCGCGAAGGCACTCTGCGAGTACGGCGGATAAAAAGACAGGCAACGTTGCATACCGCACATTTCTCGAAGCACCTTTCTGAAAACGACATACCGCCCCAGGCAAACAAGCACCGGAACCTGGCAGCGCATTCGTCTCGCTCGTTACTGCCAACAGGTGCCAACGGCGAGAACCATCTGCCCGGGAAGTCCCTTATATTCCTCCCGAGCAGTCGCATACATATGTTACATAGCGCTAACCACTAGCACAAGAATGAGTAATGAATGCTGTTCACACGTTCTGTGCCCCATTTCACTTTAAGTCCTACTGCAACCGACTGTACGAGCCGATAGAGCCAATCAAGTGGCGCAAAAAGAGCACACCGCCATGACACTTGCTGTCTTGGTGCGTCTGCCATCACCGACTACACCATTCGCGCACAGTAAATGTGCTACGATCCTGCACTTTTTCCGCATTTTTTTTGCTCACTACGGCACATAGCGTGGCCAAGTCTCCCAACTGCCACTGAAACAGTTGAGGGCTAACCGATGCAGGTGGGCAAACCGAGGTTCGTAGTACAGACCTCGATGTCTTCCTCTTCCGCCATGACGGCTTCTTGGCTGCCTTCCGTCTTTGGTGCGGGGCCGGTGTTCTCTTGGGACTTGGATGCCGCTTGGGACGAGATGCGCTCGATGAGTTTGTCGTGTTTCTGCCGCTTCTTCTTCATCACGGAGAAGGCATCGCTCTTCCCGGTGTTCCCAATCTCGAAGATGGTCTGCGGAGAAAGATTTGGTCCCGCCGAGTAAATCGAGACGCCACGCCGTCCGTTTGGTCCTCCATGTCGCTCTTTCACCGTCGTGAACCAGGACACTTTCATGTTTTTTCTTTGCCGGGGAATTCGACTGAATAGAGGAACAAGCAAATCTGGTGCAATCGAGTATTTGATAAGGAATTCATAATGGTCTTCGGCTAGCAGTATGGGCATTGAACCATTAAAGTTTGCGGCTTTTTGCCAGCTTGGTCTTTGTTATCATACAATGGCACCCCTGCTTCGAACTCGCTAAGAGGCAAATTCATGTCACTGATGTCGACGCTAATAAAGCCAAATGAGTCACGAAGTTTATGTGGCGCTTTCCAGTTAAGGTTCCCACGGCACATTACATCATATTGGTGTGTGCATAGTGTATTTTGAGTTGAAAGCGAACAGCGGTTTTGGCCGAATGTTTTTTAATCAAATAGTTTCCCCAAACCTTCCACTACTGCAGTATGCACAAACGAAAACCAGCTGAACTAGTGAAGGCTGTTGCTAAGCTTCCACTTGTCCATTTCTAAGAGAAGTCCATTTTAATCTGACTGTATTTGTTGAGTGTGGCATCAGAAAGTCCAATGCCTATATTGGGAGGGCAAGTAAATGATGCATTGGGCATAAAATTAAGCCTACAGAGGTGTTTAGCTATACATAATCAAGAGGATTTATAAATATCCTTGCTATATGTAAATATATTTTCTTCAATCACATATGGTTATTTCAGACTGTCAGGACATTTCTGCTTAACATAGGTACATTCATGCATGCCAGTCTAATTTTTGAAAATTTTACTGCAACATTCATGAAGTTTCCGTTTCTTTCTAAATACACAAGGCATGTGCACCATCCCGCTTTGGGAACGAGCTTTCCTCTTTAGCACGTGGCTGCAATATTTGTACTTTTCAAAGTGTTAATCGTGGCGGGTTAGCTCCAATGAGTGCACTTCTTTCCAAGCACCGGTGGACTGCAGAGAGCCCAGATTCTTGAAAGTGAGCTCCGTAAGTATTGCTTACCCGCAGTGCACAGGTGCTTGGTAAGAAGTGTGTTCAACAGGGGTAATCTGCTGCAATCAACATTTAAAAAAATATAAATATTGCAGTTCCTCTCGAAGCGAATATCGAATGGCACATTATTCAAAACTACTATTCAACAGTTCACGCAACACTACATCACATAGTAGTAGTGATATTGGGTAACTTGTTTGGACCTACACTTAGAGTGGATCTGATCACCACCCTTAAGTTTGATAAGCAATGATTTCAGTGTCTGCTTGCAGTACAACAAATCAAATTACATGCGTCGAAATTTCCACCTACTTGCAGGAACTTAACCCGAAAGTGAGTGTAAAAGTTAATTGCTCTGGTTCCAGACAAGGTATCAGTTGAACATTAGTTGTGGACAAAATGGAGCTGGCACTGTGTGTCTCACGCTACTCTGGAAAGAGTGCAAAAGAGGAACTTACGCTCGGTGGCTTGAACCTCTTCATCCCCTGCAACAGGCTGGCCCTCACATCTTCATCCGCAGATTTGGCTAAGATAGGATAAAGGAGGGATGAACAATCAAGACAGCAGTCTTCCGAAAGATACCCGGAATCGTCAGAAGGGACGCAGCAATGCCTCACCTCTGAACACAGGATGAGGGGCGATGTCCTCTTTGAGAAACTGCTTCATGCGCTTGGCTGACTCGCTCGAAGGTGGCGGGCGCGACTTGAGGTACTGGATCATGGCGTTGCTGCACACCCGCTCCATGTTTTGCTGCAGTGCCATACAAAGCAAACTAGAGCTTTGCTGTTTTGTTGAGCTTTTAGGCATCCTCGGCATCAAACCTCCAGTGCAGATGGCAACATGTCAACAAAGTTCTTTCTCCCAGGTTAGTAGTGGTGAGGCCACCAAGTATTTATGTGGTCCCAAACCTCCCTATTTTCTCACTAACACTTAATAATTTTCAAATTTTAACGGGCATGAAATGAAACCTTTGAAAGGAACTTCAAACCCCCCTCCCTCTTTGAACAGTTCTCCATGGAAATCCGATGAGAACGAAGCCAATAAGGTTGACGGCGAGGAGCAATGATAAATTAATCCACTAGTAGGTTACCCTACATTACACCGATTATATTCCAAAATTACGCTGGCTGAAATTACGGAGAGTGGTAGCAAACAGGCCTAGCCAGCTTGAGTATGACTAATACAGAAGAAAATTTTACAATTCACAAATACAACAGTGCGTGCAACAATCAAAAATTCCACTGTCAGTCCAAGCAGGTGCTGCAGAACAAATAATAAAAATGGCCCCCATGAGGGCATTGAGAACAGTGAAAAAACAGAACTTCCGAATGCTCGATGCACCTGCTTTAGTTGGAACATCCTTTAGTCAAAAGTTTGGTGTTGATTGGACAAACTGCTCACCAGGTCAGAGTTCTGTTCGTGGAGCACGCGGAGCATCTCCGCTTCCTCATCGATCACCATCTGTGGTACTTTTCCGCACAGTCCACTTTCTGAAAGACGAGAATGGTGACACCAAAGGTTAAACCAAACACAAATTGTTTCACAAGATAATATATTTGAACTTCAACTAGAGAGCTTCGCACAGTGTTGTGGGAAACGCGCATGACTGCAGGGCTTTGGGAGCTGCTTGCCTCACGCAAACGCTTGGGTATGTGAAGTATCCAGTAGAGCTGCGCATTTGCATTCCTGTTTCTGATGGCTTTGGACACGGCAGAGTATACTAGTCAAGTTTTCGCGCTAAAAAATAAATCGCGACTGCTTTGGCTAGAATTAAAGCAACACATCTATAGTCTGTTTCAGGTTAAAAGCTAGACAAGCCCCCCCCCCCCCCCCCCTTTTCCCAGAAAGCTCCCTGCTCGCCATAATTGGTAAAGGTTCCCTCCTCTCCAGCGTTCGCTCTGCTAAAGTGGAAAGAGGGAGGGGCCTTATGGGAGGAGCCAGTCCCACTATTTGAAACCTGCAACAGACTGCAGTGCGATTCCGCCAAGTTAGTAACCCGGCGAGTCTGCTCGATACTAACGGCACCGACATGCGTTTTCCGTTGACCAATGGACGACTCGCACCCACCCGGCGCTTGGGAGGCTGCACTTGTGAACTGCATCGGCCGTCCCAGGAAGAGATGCAGGTCCAGGAGGTAAGGTGCTTCGTCGGGGGCCACCAGCGAATAGGCCGTGCCACTCCGACCCGCACGCGCCACTCGGCCTGGGAGTAGAGCACGCACAGGTACCGGTTGCAGCAGCAGTGGTCACAAATACCGCTTAAGGCGGATGCCAATCACTGTTGCCGGAATAATTCGTTTTCATTGGGGGCACTCTTTTGCGAGTGACTTTCGGGGGCTGCTCCCACAGACACTTACCGACGCGGTGGACGAAGAGCTTGGCCTTGGGAGGGAAGCTGTGGTTGATGACGTTGTCCAGGAGCGGGATGTCGATTCCCCGGGCAGCCACGTCCGTGACGAGCATCACAGGAACCTGGCGCGCCCGAAACTTGGAGACGTTAATCTTGCGGGCCGCCTGGTCTAGGCTGCTGTACACTTGCGTGCAGGGGACGTCCGCCCTCTCGAGGATCTGTGAGAGCGAGTAGAGTTGCCTGCTGGGCTACACGATCGACACTTAACGGGGCTTGCCCCTTGCACAGACACTCCTAAGCTACCACCACTGTCACCCTCTGCATACCTTAGTACTACATTCTGCATTTCATTTTAAAAGAAAGTGATACTGTAAACAACATAATTTTCGCAAGGACCTTTTTTGCGAATTTTGCGGCTTGAAAAATATGGCTAAAATTAGTCTTGCGAATATAACACTCTACGGTAACGAATACATAGCATATCACTCTAGATTGCAAAATATTCCCGAAATCCACAATTCCAAATATTTGCGAAATATTGATCCTGTGAAAATAAAGCCGTTTACAGTATGCTACTAGAACCAGTACAGCAGATGGAACAAGTACCTGGGACCAGTATAGCAGATAGGGACTGAGTACCTAGGACAAGTACAGTGGAGAGAGACAAAGTTCTTATGACCATAGAGTCACCAAATGAGCTATGCTTAGAGTATCGACACTCTGTTCCCCAACATTGTTGTGGGTACCGCTATCTTGGTGCTTAGTACAGGGTAGATGTAACTGCCAATCACCATTATTGAAAAGTGACTTTTATAGCATTATATTCGGCGTTAGGAAGCTCATGTAATATTGCTTTGCTCTGTTGCAAACCTTTGTGCAGGACGGAAAAGCCTTTCCTGTGATTTCAGGTAACGCTCCAGATAACTGGCAACCATGATTTTAAGCACCAAGATGGGTAAGTGTCGTTACTCTGAAGCATAGCATACTTAGTGGCTCTATGACCAGCACAGCAGATAGGGATGAGGTACCTAGGTCCTGCATAGCAGGTAGGGATAAAGTACCTTGTACCAATAAAACAAATAGGGATAAAATACCTATCATCAGTACAACAGATAGGGTAAAGTACCCAGGACCAGTACAGCAAATAGGAACTAAGTATCTAGGAGATGGGAATGAAAGGTAGGTACAGGAGACTGGGAAGGGTGGGGTGGAGGAATGGGAATACACCAGACAGAAAAAAAAGTAGCAAGTTTTCGACTAGTTAGGGCAAAAGAACCTACGTCTCTCAGGTACTCCGCGTGGTGGCGTGTGGCCACAAAGACGAGGGTGAGCTCGTCAGGTTTGACGACGTGCTTGAGCAGGTGCAGCAAAATTGCCGCCTTGTCATTCGTTCTGCACATCAGGTACACCGTCTGCAATAAGAACAGCCACTTTGCACTTTCCCCATCTCCAGGGGGAGCGACAAAACTCTTTAGTTGTGAAAGGAGGGTATAAGGGCAAATGGAGAAAACAAATTATGTTCTAGTAATGGCATTAAATTTATAATTTGTGCTCGATAATGGCTCTTACACCACACGACTGAATGCTATGTATAACCGAATACCGCCTTCATCTTTGATATCTTACAAGATTAATAGTCTCGCAGATGAACCCGAGGTCAATGACCATCAGGCAATACAATATTCAAGATTTGACATATACACTTCAAATTGAGTGGCTCAAATAAGCCTGTGGATATAAACTAAGATGTGGTTGCATGCAATATTTCCTTTGTGTTTAGGTGTAAGTTGCTGCAATCCAAGCACTTTAGTGTGGCCAGGATTGGAAAAAGATAAAAAGGAATCGGAACAGCCCTGCCATGCGCTCAACCTCAGTGTGGCAAGATTTTGCTCGAACACCAATTCTTAACACTGAAACTCATACTAGCTGCACCCATACATCACTACGATGCCTACAGCGAGTAAGCTTCGAGCAAGTGGGGCTATACCTTGAGGAGGTCGCTGAGCTGAGACTCGACATCGAGGCGAACTAGAACCGGCTCGTTGAGACCGGCACGTGCAAAGTCGACCAGCATACGCGGCAGTGTGGCTGAGAAAAGTAGCGTCTGCCGATTCTCAGGAAGCCGATGAAGGATTTCGTTCAGCTGCTCCTGGAAACCCATTTCAAAAAGCCTGCCAAGGTAAAGCAAAGGAGAAAAATGAAAGTCGTTCACAACTCCCTGTAACACCGAATTAGAGTGCAGCTCTTGAGGAGGAGGAGGGAAGGGTACTGAGGGGAGGGTATACCTCTCCTTTCTCCTCCTCACCCTGCCTGCTGCTCCTCCCTCCGAGCGGCGTCGGCGTAATCTTGAGGTCACGTGACCCTTGTGATGCCACGTGACCCTCGTGATGCCACTTGACCCTCGTGACCTCACGGGGGTCAACGTGATGTCACCGGGGTCACGTGACCTCACGCTTACGCCGGCGCCACTCAAGCTGGAAATGGGCGCCTAAGAGCTGCGCTCTAAAATGATTAGTTGGTCATAAATGCCTATATGTTCAATGGAGAGAAACCTTTATGAATGTTTCAAAAGTCTTCCACAATCTAAATGGCTTTCTGGTTATTAAGTATGAAAATTCATTAGTAATTTAGACTAGCAAGGTTGCCAAGCAAGAACCCCCTTTTTGAGCACACTAACAGGTGATGTAGGTTCTCAAAGGTTGTTCGTTTGAAATTTTGCCAACAGGATTAGTTTTACCGAAAAAAGAGGCTTATTTAGGCTTCTGCTATATTGTTTGCACCAGTTTTATTCAAATTAATCATACCAACTCATAAAAGTTGCTTGAGAGGGTTCTCTCAACCAATCTTTGTGAAAATCTTTGCTAAACCTTTATTACCAATGGTGATATCTGTTTCCAAATCTAAATTTAGTACTTCCCCCACGCCTAGCCACCTTGTTGACCTGAGAATGATAAAAGCATGAGGTCGCAAAAAGATCCACAGATTTGAGATCTTCTCAAAATAAAATTTTATTATTTGCCCACTGTATTTTTTAGTTTCTTTCCACTTATGTATGTCGTATATTGCGTGTTACATTGTATTATGGTTCAAATATGTCCATTCATCTGTGTAGTCCAATTATGTTCACCCCCTAATTTGTTTCTCCCCCTTACTATTTGCTTTTAAACAGCACCAACTAATGCACAATCTTCAAACGTTTGTAACCACCCCACTAAAAGTTGCAAACAGAACTGGAGTACTACTAAATAAATAAATAAAAAATGACACGACTTACCGGTCAGCTTCGTCAAAGACAACATACTTGATGGAGCTCAGCTTGAGGTCCATCTCCATGACGATGTGAAGAAACCGGCCAGGCGTAGCAATCAGAACATCCGGATTCTCGTGGATGGCCTCAAACTGATCCTCCATGTTGTCTCCGCCCAGGATCACCGTAGACTTGAGGTCCGTGAACTTGCCCAGCTGCATTCAGGAACGCCATGTGGCCTAGCTGCCATGAGCACGGAAACGAACAACATAACAAGCCCGGCTTTAAGGGAGCACTAAAGTGGATTTTGAGTTTGTCTTTCTTTATGGCATAAACTCATCCTATGTCCTATCAGAAAACGAGAAAAATACTATGACACATAGCCTTTTTCTTCATTAAATACACGACCAAACGCTAGATCAAGCCCCTTTTCTGACATATACCTCAGAAAAGGGGCATGTCGAGATGTTTGGCTGCGTTTGAATAAGAAAAAAAAGGTCACGCGTGATTGTAATATTGCATTTGTAAGATCCTTGGCACCACTTCAGGCTGGGCAACTTTCCCAGCAATTTTGGGGTTGCTCTCTAGCTTTCCCTAGATTGATACGAATTGCTGAGATCGGGTCCGACTCAAAACGGACGAGCAACTCGGACAACTCGGAGATGTTTGAAGCAGCAGCAGCCGAACAGGAACACAATATTTTTATGTGACGCCCTTGTGGGCGTCACATGATGACAACTAGGACAACTAAACACTTGGTTCTGGTTTGAAATGGATCTGTTTGGGGGAATAAACTGTTTCAGACAGATGAGTTAGTATTATCAATGCCGTTTGAAGATATAAAAACATGTTTATAGCGCGTAACTGTGAGTCTAAACAGTGCAAGAAAAATCAAATTGAATGATGATGATGGCAAGTCGGAGCAATTTGGTTGCTGCATGTGAACGTGGGCAGCCCATGTTGCTGGTGTTGCGAAGTCAAGTTGCTGGGTGAAATTGCACCATCTCAAACAGGCCTTAGGGCACACAGATTAAGTTGGAATTATGAAAAAGTGATCTCAAAATCTACTTTAGTGCCCCTTTAAAGACCGGCGACCAGTTTGTGCTTTTCACTTTTTCTTCCCTTCCTCCTCTCCCTCTTCTACCCTGTCCAGTATTGCCTGTTTCCTCCTCCCCCATGGTGAGGAGGATCTTCTGCCTTGCAGAATCTTGAATCTGGTCGTCGGCCTTTAACGCCTAGGGAACATCCCTCTGCCCAACTGGAGACGAAGCGGGCAAAAGGCCACCAATGCTCCGAATTTCTGGTTCTCACTCAAGGCCACCCCATGACCAGCCAAAAACCAAAGGCAAAGATCATCCATAACATCAACCCCTCGCCCACAAGCTCCACTTGAACCATTGTCATTATTTTTATTACAGCGACAGCTGCTAGTGGGAACCTTGCCATGGAATTGCATTGTCGTCCTTCGTTAAAACTCCCGGCGCCTCGAGCTAATCCCACTGTGCAGGTGCATGTGCAACACCATCCGAGCAGACAAACTTGCACACCATATGGTTTGACCTCAGAAAGTTTTTAGTGAGTTCGAAGAAAGAGATTTTCAGTTACGGCGCACTCAGGAGGCTCATCATAGATGTAGTGCAGATCAGGCATGGGAGCATAATATAAAGCAGTTGAGAAAACTGCATGAAAATCCTCAGAACTGTGCTCAGGACAAGGCACACAAACGCCACTGACGCCACATTGATGAATAGAGAGCAAAAATAAATATCAATATCACCGCGAGTACCTCCGAACTCAACCGCATGATGATCGAGCATACCTCTTTCGCGAACTTGTGCGTCTGCAGGGCCAGCTCTCTGGTAGGCGACAACACCAGGGCCCTTGCACCCGCCTGCAGGGAGCGGGCCTTCAGCTTGTCCAGGATGGGCACCAGGAAGGCAGCCGTCTTGCCACTCCCAGTCCTGGCCATGGCCACCACGTCCCGGCCTTCCAGGATCACAGGGATCGTCTGCATCCATCAATCGATTAGGCTTCGACAAAGATCGCTCAGACTAGTGGTTTGGTTGTCGCACCCTCCACTTCGGTTGTCGCACCCTGCACTTTGCTCGGTTGTCGCACCCTCCACTTACGGCCACCCTAAAGGTACGGCCACCCTAAAGGAACTGTTCCTATAGCCTGAGGGCAGTGAACAGGAAGTGTATAGGTCGGCTGCTAGTCAGCACAGCTAGTGGTCAGAGCGAGGCAAAATTGGGAAAGCCACGCTACCAGATTATTAGGCACAAGTGCTGCGTCACAGTTCGACGGTCACTCGGATGCTGGAGCTCAAGATCGCGTCCAAAGATTGCGACCGCCGGCTATCTTGAAGTTGCAAAGATTTCTTATAAGATTGCGCTACTTGTCGAACCAAACTTCTCTGTCCGGACGGTATGGGTCCAAGGCGATTCCTTTGTACTTCCACTGCGGATGAGGACCAGGGATCCATACTACTAGTACAGAATGCGAGGAGTGTCGCAAGCATGAGCCCTTATATTTGGAAGCTGATTCTATTACAAGGGCCAGCAGATGAGATCAGTACTTGCAAGTTTTGACCTCGTAGCCTCCGTTCTGCTCCAAGCTTCAGTTTGTTGCAACGCAAGATCTGAGGTAGGGGCCCTGCCCACAGAACAAGCGACAATGCTCCACTCAATGCCCAATGCAATGAGGCGAAGCATTGTTTCCGAGGGTGCCATGCTCCTTTCATTTCAGCATGTCACAGAGATGCGCTTGTAATGATTGGTGCCAATTCTTTCTAGATGAGGGCAGAGCCTCTCCTGCAGTTCTTACGTCGCGACAGCCTCTATATAGAAAAATGAAGCATAGTTCTGCGGTGTACTAAATGATTGAGTCCCATGGCTAATCAAATATTTGCTTGTGATGGCCTCATTACAAGGTGTCCTGTTTTCAGGTAAGATGCCTATCCCTGTTGTGCTTGCTTCATTGTGTGTGTGTATGTGTATTTCAAAGCTAGAAAGGTATGGTGGGTCAGTTCTGCTGGCCCACCTGTTCAAACAAACAAAACAGATTAGTCGTTAGTTGTTTATACAGCAGGAGTTTAGTCTGCCAGAACATGGCGACATTGCCATAGGCGTAGACTACAGGGGGCATCGGGGCTCGTGCCCCCCCCCCTCCCCCCCCGGGTCCGGGCCATGATCCTTATTGAGACGCTGTTAACGTGCCATGTAACGAGTTTCTAGTAGTGGCATGTAAACAAAATAATGCCCACGTTGCCTTTATTGACAAAATTCATGAAAAATGGAATCCCACCGTGCTTTCGAAAGAGAGGGGGGGGGAGTGCTTTTCCGCTCGCGCAGAAAAGCCGCCCCCCGCCCTGCCCCTGCCCGCCGCCGCCCCGCCGCCCGCCCCTCCCCTCCCTTCCCCTCCTCCCCTCCCTCCCTCCCTCCCTCCCTCCCCCCCCCCCCCCCCCCCCCCCCCCCGGAAAATGAAAAGTCTACGCCGCTGTACGTTGCTACCCACTGTACGATAAGAAATTTGGTCAGGGCAGTACGACGGCTAGCCTGGGGTTTTTAACGCATACCACGCAGTAGTTATACACGACCGCACGCCGGTCGATGCTCATCCAGATCAAAATGGGCAGGGGTGGAGATTGGACCCGGGATCCCTGGGTCTTGGCGCGAGCTTTCATTTCACGTGCTCCGAGCTGCTGTGCGCTAGCCCACTCGGCCACCGATCCCCCTCCGCACCTGTTCACATGGCCCCACTTTTCCGTAAAGCGCGCACGTCCTCTATGCTGATTTGTTTTTCTAAGTGCAATAAAGCAAGAGGCTTGGCGTGTTTGGCACGTGTGTTTGCCTGCTTGCCGAAGTGGCAATAATACAAATAATAATAATACTTTATTCGTACTGTGAAGGGGCTGATCCAACACACAGGGTCGCAAAAAACAGTGATGCCCATACCACAGAGGCTTGCAGTCCCAACCCGGGGCCCATTATTGCACATACACGTGGTTATCCAGTAATAGGATGTCACCACGCGTTCCTTCTTATACTCCATTCACCCTTAGTAATGTCATGCTCTGAAACTTGACATTCTATCAACGCAAGTGAGAGCTAGCCCGCACTCCTGGCTTCAAGACATGCCATTTCTTGTGCGAGCGATCGTTCTGTGGAAGAACGCTTCAAAGCAGCAACCTCGAGCTCTCGTGCTTGTGGCTTGACTGCAGTCTCAGTTTTAGGGTGAACGGAGTGTAAAAGGGTTTAATCGTATTCATGCATCGTGCCCCTTTGCGAGCGAACACTGGTACGTCTAGCCATGTATGGCAAGATTTAAGGCGCCTCCGTTTAATTTACGGTAAAGGTTTAAGGAAAATCGAGCTTGCCTTCCGCTGGATCGGTGTGGGAATCTGGTAGCCCCCGTTTCAAGACGCCTTTTAGAATGGGAGGACTCAAACCTGCAAGTTGAGCAGAAGTCAGCAAGTTCCAATTGACTCGATCGGCTCGCTCATTACCCATTGACTGAAATCCACCGGACTTTTTCTTGCCGACAGTCGCTGCGTCTTGCCGCATGCTGTCAAAGTCCTTTCTCTCGGCCTCGTCCACATAGATGCTGTCGAAGCCGTCTTGATCGGCGTTAGTGTCATCCTGTGGGTTGCAAAATACGAGGGGCTGATATTCGCGCACGGATGTCATCCTGGTTTAAACTCGTCGATTTTGTCAAAACTCACATCGTCGGAGTGGTCCTTCTTTCGCTGGCGCGGTCCCCGCTTCTTTCTGGAAGTAAACTTTTTTTTCGACTTCATGCCAAGCCCGAAGATCAATGCAAACCAATGCAACTGTTTTAAAGTTTCCACCCGTTTCACAGTTTTAACATGTGCCGCACGTGTAATGTGTTATGTGACGAAGTGCATGGCTGCGTTCGAAACATACGGATATTCGAGTCCCCAAGTCAAAGTAGACGTGGATGTCTTAAATTTGAAGAGTCGTGACTCTTGTAGATACAACGGAGGCACTACACTAGTCACTCTCAAAACGCTCAAAACTTTGAAAATTTATTTTTTGATTTATTAAATAGTTTTTTTTTAAATCTACTGTAAAAAATTAAAAAGCGTATATGAATTGTCAGTTACATCCACAGTTACGGTTTAAACAATAGCTGGTGTGCGCGGGTATGCCTTGGTAGGTGCTGGTATCTATCGGCCATTTTCGGAAAGATTTACCAACCATGCGTTGATTATGCTTTCAGCGGACAGATGGCACGAGCTGTCCACGATTTGGAAGGGGTTGTTGTGGGGTTTCTGAACCCATAGAGTCCCGCGCTTCTTCCCACGCGTTCCGACACCAGTTTACCTAATAAATGTTTTGATCATAAGTTTCCACCGTTCCCACTTCGACACTAGCAGTCGACCTGTCACACTGTACTCGCCAAATTTATCGTCTACACTCTACAGCGTGAATCAATGTCGTCTATTACTTATTTATTTATTTATTTGCTTGGAAGTAGGTGGCAAGAATGATATTTTCATAACCCACTATTTGCTTCTGTTCGAGAAGTTAGCAAAAAAGTAGCCAAAGGTTTAGTCAACTTTCCGGGGGAGGGTAGAGGGGGCCGGTCAGTCAGGATGGTCACGACCGATGATGGTGTTCGCCCGATGGAAGTCCCCCCGGGAAGTCGAATAAGAAGAAAAAAAAAAAAACTAAAAGTTCTTCGATCTCGCTGGACACATTAAGACGGTGGTTGGTTTACGATGGTCGGTGTGGCCACGTTTATTTTCAAAACAAAAACGACAAGTCAACGGTAATTTACAAAACTTCCAAAATTAAAAACCCCATACTTTAGTCCCCAGTCTCAAGAGCCGAATTCCCCGAAAATCCTCTCGACAGCCCTTTTCTAGACTCGTAGAGGCCTCCTTTCCCTCCAGAGACGGACCAATCACTTCAAATTCCACCAGTCACACGTGGTACACTGTTATTCAATGGTCGGCGAGCTGTCATCCTGGCGCTCCAACCGCCAAAACCTAAATTCCTTGTAGAGTTGTTCTCTGCAAATTTCCCAGTCGGGCAAAAAGCGACAATTTTACACTAAGCGGCAAAACCCTTTATATACAGGCACATTCGGTTAAAAGCCGCAAGCCGCTCCGCACACGTGTTCGTCCCCGCACCGCCTTTCGAAGCCCGAGACGTTTCTTAACGACCGGGGTCCGACTCTTCTCCACCGACCCCCGCGGGCTGCTCGAAGCCGCCCGCGCGTGGGGGGCGGAAGACGCCCCAAAAAATGCAGACACAAACATAGGCAGTTAAAAAGCACTGCCGACGAAGCTGTATAAAGATATACTTTTCCAGAACAAATCTTACTTATTTCTAACAAAATCCTTCGTTACTTAACAGGTTTCCTGCGGCCAACACACGCTGCAACAGGCGCCTGCTGGTCGGAAAGGGGGCTTTGTTGGTTGTTTCGTCGTCCCCCGCTCGTTGAACCAGTGGTCAAGCTCTGCGCCCTTTCTCATCACAATTTCGAAGCGTTTGTGCTCGCGACAAGCGAAGCCCCAGATCAATAATAATAATAGCAATAGTAATAGCTATTATTACTATTATTTATCTTTGGTGCTCTATGGCCTAAGGGGACTTTGTGCCAATTAACCCAGTCAATCAATCAATATTATGTATCTGGCTGCGCAATTCACGGGGTGAGCTCGGCGGATAACGCGGCTAATATGTCTAGAAAGAAAGAAAAAAAAAAAGTGCTTTGTGG